CTGCACATTGGCAGTGGATTGTGTTCTTAACTCCTGCGCCACTAAAAGAGTAAAAGGTTAAGGCAATCCGCTTGAACAAAAGCCATCTTTAACTCTCACCATAATATCTTGGGTATCTTGAGCATGTAATTGCACAAACATAATATGCTATACAAGACAAATGTGACACTTCCTTTTTCTACCAAACAGCATCAGTTGTAATCCTTACCCAATCGTCACCTGCTCCAGTGTGGGACTTTCCGATTTTATCCCAAAGCATAAGGAGGTTAGAGTGAGAACAGAGCTACACTTTAGCGGGGACTAACCCTTCCCCTGACTACCTCGTTACCCGGTACCCCGGGCATAGGGAGCCGTATCCTGACTACCAGAGTGTGGTCTAGTCTAGCTGGGTCATAGTAGACTAGGTTGAACAGGGTAACAGCCAACACCTCTTTAGCTACTGTGCAATCCACAGTAAAGATTTACGAGTCTCAAAGCCTCTTGTAGACCAAGAGTTAAGGAGTCAATAGATCAAATTATTGAACTTCCGGGGCTCAATGTCTCCCGTCGACCGTCCTGCCTTTAGCCTGGACCCCCTGTCCAGTATCCAGTCTTCACCACGTGGAGGTAGTGGCTTTCATCATGCTGTCCGATGAGTGTCTGGAAGAGGGCACCAGCAGGATACCCCTTTTCAAAGTTCTGGGAGCCTCACATCAGACCAGGGCTTCCACCCAGCTTCTATCCAGCGGTGACGCCTTGGGCCACCTAAGCTTCACACAACCATTGAAAGACCACCTGCCTACTTGTAAAAATTTTGATGATGCGATAAGAACACTGTAACTTTGAAGGAGAGGCTTTCCAACCATCTTCTGACGGAGCAGAGAGTGACGAAGCGGAAACAGATGATGAAGAAGAGGAAGTGGAGGATATTGACTCATCAGAGGAATGGGCGAAAATAGTAACTGTGTATGGTGAATGGTGATGCTCTGCATCATGATACGGCTGTTGAGGTTTGCCTCAATGGAGGGCGAGATCGAATGCCATCCCAGTCAAGATTTTAGCGACTCCAGGGCCATTAACAAGCGAAGATATCACTTAATATCACATGTGATCACGCAGCTGATGGTAACTGCAAGATTCTTTCAGTTGGAGATAGAGCATGGTTTCTCGTTAAGCGGATGATCAGGAAAACGGAAACAGAGATCGTGAAGGTGAGAAGAAAGGCTTTATTCCTCTCGTACCGGTTGCGGTCAGGGTTGGGGTCATCAGTGAGTTGCGTCCCTACTAACTCAATTTGCCATGGCCATCGAAGTGAGCATTACATATGGCTGATATCATATCTGGATGGCCAACTTATTCTGAGCACATCAGTGAATAAAATACTGCTTTTGGGTGATATTTAAGCGATTATATCTATTGTGATGTTGTAGTGATGAACAACAACAGTGATGTTGTACTGATAATTGTTTTGCTAGGTGCCTACATGATTTTATTTCCTTCAAATGAAAAATTTGTAAAAAACCCAAAAAAACCCAAAAAAACCCAACTCCTACCCTGAAAAAGGTCATACTGGGATTGGGTTTTTTTGGGTTACACCCCCCCCAAAATGATTATTACTTATTTAATTCGCGTTTTTGAAACCGCTTGGGGGTCCTAATTTTGGGCACTAAAATTCTTATTCCTTGGCCTATTTTTTATTTTTTTCATGCTGATTCAAATGCCATTACGTAAGGCATTTGACCCAGCCAAAAACGTTTCAGTTTTATATCTTTTAAGGTTTTTGCGGAAAGTCGTGTTAAAGTTTATGCCTTGGTGTCAGTAAAATGGTACGGATATAATATATATTATATAGTCAAGGCGTTGTGTTACTGACAGTTGTGGCTAACTAACAATATATATATATTATATATATATACCTATATATATATACCTATTATATATGTATAGGTTAAATATATATAATATATAATATTATGCTCCTTCGACTCGTCGTTGTTGAGCACTCTCGTTTGATAACCAGAATCAACAATTAGGTAACTCTCAAATACGGATCCTAATTCTACCAGCTTCACGGAACTCAGTAAAGAATTTTCCTCTACCACTACACGAAGGCCAACGCAGTTTACAACTTTAAAAGCCAAAGATATCTTACTACCTTACTTCATAGACAATTTTAAAATTGGGACGGACACAATAAACTGTTTTTTTGGAAATTTTGAAAATGTTTCATGATCGATAAAAATTATTTTATAAAGGAGCAACATGTCATAGCGCTACAATTCATTATTCTATTTGGCACTGATGATTGGTATTATTTTTATACATATCATGAAACGGATCGTTTGCCCGCCAATTTGATTTGTTTCAATTGTTCGAATTAATATATAATATATATATCGTCTCGCTTTATATATAACTAGCAGGAACCCGTCTAACCCTAAAGTGGTGTCAAGACTCGAGAGACTAAAATAATTATTACCTATTTAATTCGCGTTTTTGACACCACTTGGGAGTCCAAATTTTGGGCACTAAAATTATTATTCCTTGGCCAATTTTTTATTTTTTCATGCTGATTTGAAGGCCATTAAAGCATTTGACCCAGTCAAAAAAGTTTCAGTTGTATATCTTTTACGGTTTTTGCGGAAAGTTGCGTTAAAGTTGATGCCGTGGTGTCAGTAAAATGGCACAGATATATATATATATATATCGTCTCGCTTTATATATAGTAAGATAGTAAGATGTAATATTATACTATTGTCTTTCTAAACTTTTCAACAATTCCTATATTGAGGGGAAAACTATTATAATAATATTGTAATACAATGTAAATCTTACATTGTGATGCCTCCACTAGTGATATAAACAATAAACATAGTACTATACTGATATTAAGTATGAACTCTCCACCAGGCTCGTGTGGGCCGTGGGGGCTTGTTTTCTAAGAAACCTTAACTTTACACAACATTCTAGCAAGAAACCTTAACTTAACACAACATTCTAGCAAAATCCAATCCAATCTGAGTTACCTGTGCGATCAATATAAAATGAACTTCGATTGATCCCGTACAGATTAAATACGTTGCATTAGTGAATAGAGGATGTACTCTAGTAGCGGACTACTAGAATAATGTCTGGACATTGCTCTAGTTAGACAATAGTTAAAAGGAATTAAATTATGTTCGTTTAATGGTTCGAGGGATAAAAGAAAGCCAACGCTCAACATACTGAAATTATAAAGAGGTGTACCCTCTGAAGTCTGAAAGCTTGGGATCCCAATTCCCAATATGATTACAGCTAGATCAGATTTTGGCGTACAGTTCCAAGTGTTAAATCGAAACTTACATAAACTGACACGCCAGTTAATAAAGGAACGTAATATTACCGATGTCGTTCGCTTCTCCTAAACCCACAATTAACCTATAACTTGCAAGTAACATAATTTATTGGAACTCCCCTCAAATGCAGTAATTATAATGGAAATGAAATATCGAAATGACTTAAGTAATAGTATGGTAACCTTTAATAGTTTAAGTACCTTGCGTCTGTTTTGGTTATAAACCGCTAACTGAGTGAAGTAATCTTGCGTAGTTTGAAAATTCAACTCCATCTCGCCAGGGGGGGGGGGGGTGACACGCCAGTTAATAAAGGAACGTAATATTACCGATGTCGGATCGCTTCTTCTATTTACTCACAATTAACCTGTAACTTGCAAGTAACATAATTTATTGGAACTCCCCTCAAATGCAGTAATTATAATGGAAATGAAATATCGAAATGACTTAAGTAATAGTATGGTAACCTTTAATAGTTTAAGTACCTTGCGTCTGTTTTGGTTATAAACCGCTAACTGAGTGAAGTAATCTTGCGTAGTTTGAAAATTCAACTCCTTCGATTGACGATATTATATTGACATGTTTGAGATAAATTGAGACTGTAGAGGTTGGCTTATTATGTTGAATGGGTTTAAATAGGTATGAAATGAAATGAAATATAAACGTTATTTTAGATACCCGCCCGTCTCGCCAGGGGGGGGGGGGTGACACGCCAGTTAATAAAGGAACGTAATATTACCGATGTCGGATCGCTTCTTCACAATTAACCTACAACTTGCAAGTAACATAATTTATTGGAACTACCCTCAAATGCAGTAATTATAATGGAACTGCAATATCGAAAATGTAAATTATATCAGGTACAATGATTCAGAGAAAATGTAAATATCAGGTACAATGATTCAGAGAAAATGAAAGATCAGCTGACTTCATTTCCCTAAGATATTACAACCTAGCATATTACGGGAAAAAATGCTGCATTGGATCAAATATTATTAAGCTATTATCGAACAATCCAAGCAATTCCGAAACACAATTCAGCAATTTGCCCTACTTGCGATGCGAACTATCCCTTTTAAAGTTCACGCTTAAAGCTGGGCAAATTGCTGAATTAAGATTAGGAATTGCTTGGATTGTTCGACTATATAACTTTAATATTTATATAATATGCTGTAATACCAGGGTTGGGAGCGGACCTTAAAACCTTTAAAAAACCTTAAAAATCGTGAAATTGCCAAAAAACCTTAAAAAGAGCGGTTTAGCTCAAAAAACCTTCAAAAGGAGAACAAAACCTTAAAAAGTTTTTGAGAACCTTAAAAAAGCGTTCAAAAGCCGGAATTGGCATCTTCTCAAATTATACCTAGCAATGTGTATCTCGGATTGGCATTTGCTCAAATTATACCTAGTTAGGTGTACCTCGGATTGGAAAAAATAACTGTGACCTCTTTTTTTATTCTTTTTTTTTTCTTTATTTTGCGATACGGAAAGAAAACTTGAAAAAACAACCCAGGAAACACTGAAAAAACCTTAAAAAACTTCGAAATAAAACCTTAAAACCTTTAAAAAAAGAGAGAACCTTAAATCACAACCCTGTGTAATACCTAATACCCATTTAAAAACTTGATATCGATTTTAAATTGTAAGCTAACTTTGGATTATTTACACAATCATCAATACCATCAATTTCAGGATGTCGAGTGTGTTGTCACAGCTATTACCGATAGAATGCCACCTGGATCAAACCATTGTGAAGCACTGTCTAGTTCAGCTGCTAAAACAAGATACTAACGCTGCTGTCGCTGGCATCGTTAACCAGGTTATAGTTCACTATTATCAGATACAATTAAAATAATCTCGATTCAGATTTTGTTTCAACAAGGATTTGGGCCAATTGATGTATTTAGACTAACAATAATCTTTCTCTACACTATTGCACAACAAGGTAAATAGTAGGTTGCAACGAACAACAAAATATAGGTTAGATATACTGGGCAATGAAAACGCTGATAATCTGTGAAGCTCAGTAAAACTAATTGGAGTTCACTTCAAATTCCCCTACCCCTGACAGATCAATTACAAAATTATCTATCAGGGGTAGAAAAAAACATAAATCAGCTGCAAAAAATGGCACTAGCATTAAAACCTTATTCACAGTCTTTGAATTAAAAACATCATGTAGTGTTGACAGTATTAAAAAATATGATACTTTCAAGGCTTCTTATTCTTAATATTTAAACACATAATTTGAGAATATTACCATAATGTAACAAGTTATAATAAAACTATTTTACCTTTCCCTAGAAAAGCAGTTTCTCCTTTTTCGCAGAAACGTGATAAAAAGAAATTTCGTAAATTCAACATAATGTTCCCATACAGATTACAGATATTGCAAATCAACCCGGTAACAAAATTGGGGGAGCCAATTGATTAAATAGCTAAATCCAATCGATAACATGCACGATGTCAACTGCGATTATATTGTGGCGCATATAAAATCAACAGATCGTGGCAACATTGATATTAAAAGAAAGATACAATTTATCAACTCTTACTCTGCAATTTAGTGCCTAAAATCAAAATTACTGTTAATGGTTCAATTCCAATTATATCTCCTTTCAAGCAAGAAGCAAATGTGGCATCTTTCATGCCTTAAAAGTTAAAACTGTATTATGCTAAGATCGTATCTAGATTAAATGAAACGTATTAAACGTATAATTAATACTAATAGTAATAACTTGTTAATTAATACTAACAACTCGCCCAGATCGTGTCGGGAGATGAATCAGTTGGTGTACCAGCTAGAAAGTTCTTTCTGGAGCGGTTAGCCGACTCTGACAAATACATCCCTGCACTTCAGTCAGATGAGAAACTCAAGATATTTATCATCGACCAGGTGCGATGATATTATATTGATTGCTTAGCTTAACTTTACTTAGCGTACTGTCAGTACTTTGCAAGCATAATATTATTTTTAATCAAAAATGGTTCTCTGATGTGCGTTATATTAGTCGTTTTTAATTCTTGGAAATGCATCCAACGATAGTAGGGGGAAACACACATAGTTGAGGCTCGCCAGAGATATTTACTAACATTGGCTGGGATGTGTTAAATTCCCCTGGTGCGTTTGCCAGTGCACTGATCTCATTATTATCATGACGTCCGCTATTTGAACTAACAAGTGCTATCGTTAAAATAACACGTGCCCCATTTAATTAACACGTGCCCCATTTTATTAACACGTGTCACAGTTGGACCACATGAGTCGAGGAGGTACTTACGAGGAGTTTGTGGAACTTATGCAGGTAGCAGGTGGTATCGATAGAAGGAAAACAGTAAAATCTCTAACTAAACTCCTGCAAATGGATCTCCCATTCGACGTGAGTTGAAAAATAAGCGATCATTAAAATCATGAATGAATGCTCTATAGCTCTATATAAATATTGGATTGTTTTAGTTCAGTTTTGTTTGTCAAGATTCAATTTTTTTACAATGGACTGAAAACAGTAGTGAGCTGCAAGATAATTGGTCAGGTTTAGTGACCTAGAGGGCCATTAGAGAGCTCTCTGGACTCTGGTTTACTACCAGGTGTATAGATTTCGTCTGGAATATGGACCATTGTATAGGAGTTCCATGTTGACTCTGAAAGCTTTTTATTGTTCTGTTCTGTTGATCCTTAAGCCACGTATTAATGAGTTTGTTCCAAGGTTCGAAATTTAAGGCATCCTTTAGCGTATATTATATTATAATTCATTGGGAAAACAATGAATCCCTTTGTCTATTTCGATTTTGAAAGTGTGGCTAGACAAATATAAATTCAAATTTGAAATAGGAGTTTATAGCGGTGTCGAGACAACCCACGTGACCATGGTAACCCACGTGACCATAGTAACCCACGTGACGTGTTTTAGTATTCTCCACCTCACATTGGTTGCAAACGATGCCTAAAATTTGACTGGAAGTCCAAAGTGCCTGGAGTTTAATGCTAAAAGGTTGAAATCTTGCTCAATAACTGGCTAACCACATATTGGAATTTTTTAAATCCAAAAACGGATTTTGTGAGTTCCTGTAATTATCCAATATTATAACAGCCATGCTTATAACTCGTCATCTTAAAAACTGGCCTCAATATTGGTAGAAATAACCAATTCCCCCCCCCCCCCCCCCCAATTCGTTACAGATAGATCATATGAAATAAGGAGCATGTCCACTGCAACGTTTATTTGCCGGTTAGGAAACTCCTTAAATTCATGTAGGTGTTTTGGAACTCAAATTTAGGAAAAGAAGTTTTTTCTTAATTTAGCTCACGTGACAAACGTAGACAGTTGAGCAGTGCACCATCAATAATTGAACGTAATACCTACATTTTTCATTATAAATAATATAGGTAGACTAGAGAGATACGATGAAGTCTTGTATAGTCCGGAGTTTGGGTAACCAGGTGCAGTGAACTGATAACCAGGTGCAGTGAACTGATGACCAGGTGCAGTGAACTGATAACCAGGTGCAGTGAACTGATGACCAGGTGCAGTGAACTGATAACCAGGTGCAGTGAACTGATAACCAGGTGCAGTGAACTGATAACCAGGTGCAGTGAACTGATGACCAGGTGCAGTGAACTGATAACCAGGTGCAGTGAACTGATAACCAGGTGCAGTGAACTGATAACCAGGTGCAGTGAACTGATAACCAGGTGTAGTGAACTGATAACCAGGTGCAGTGAACTGATGACCAGGTGCAGTGAACTGATAACCAGGTGCAGTGAACTGATAACCAGGTGCAGTGAACTGATAACCAGGTGCAGTGAACTGATAACCAGGTGCAGTGAACTGACAACCAGGTGCAGTGAACTGATAACCAGGTGCAGTGAACTGATGACCAGGTGCAGTGAACTGATAACCAGGTGCAGTGAACTGATAACCAGGTGCAGTGAACTGATAACCAGGTGCAGTGAACTGATAGCCATGTGCAGTGAACTGATGACCAGGTGCAGTGAACTGATAACCAGGTGCAGTGAACTGATAACCAGGTGCAGTGAACTGATAACCAGGTGCAGTGAACTGATAACCAGGTGCAGTGAACTGATAACCAGGTGCAGTGAACTGATAACCAGGTGCAGTGAACTGATGATTTGATGGACAAAAGAAAGGCAAGAACAATTTGCCGACAAGAGTCGTTCTAATATCAGTAAAACGTTAGCATTACGACAATTACGCGTTTTGATAGTTTTATTGTAATTATATCAGCAACATTTTGCCGACAACCTATGAAGTTATAAGACACGAGAACTACAGTCTAATAGGAGCATCGTTTATAAAAGTATTAAACGTTTGGGTACGTTATCCAGCCAGAAGAGTGCTAGAACTCGCGATCACACGACGTCTTAAGGTAAAAGTATCATTTTATTTTAACAACCCGAGGTTAAAATTCAGATTATCAAGAGTCGCCAGGATATTGAAATTGTCATAGCTGATTTTTACTCCAACAGCAATTGGTTTTCAGAAATCAGATGCTATATACAGGGTGGCACAGAAGTAACTGCCCACATGCAACCCTTTAATAACTCACGTAATTCTTGTCAAAATTGCACAGAAATTTCAGAGATTAAATGCCGAGATCACGTATCTGCAATATCTTAAAAGGGTCATAAATCGGTTAAATTGTGAACAACCAACTTGAAATTTTGGGAACGCACTTCAATTATAAAACCAAATATGTCTAGAAACTTTGAAGTTCCTAGCTGAAAGCGTTAAATCACTTTATGGTGACAATAGCGAAAAAGAGGGATTGGCGTGCCACACCCACTGCAATTAATTAAATTTGACGAAACTTTCAGGAAATCTAAATTTGACCCATATCTATAATCTCTGAAATTTCTGTGCAATTCTAAGAAGAATTACGTGAATTATTAAAGGGTTGCGTGAGTTACTTCTGGGCCACCCTGTAATATATTGAAACAAATTATCGCCACCCGCACTCAGCAGTAGCCAGGATTGGAATCCTGAAATTTTCTGAACACTTGTTGTTTTATTGTGGGTGGTAATGGTGTCGTCCCCTTTAGTTTTAAGATTCTTGCTATAAATGGCTACAGCTAACACTATTAATGCTAAGTACCAAACAACAAGTGGGAGGTGGATCGTTGGTATACCATTAAATCGATTTAACACCGCAATTACAGTCGCAAGCCTGGGACCACTACTAGCATACAACATCTACAAAGCTGCCATATAGCCTGACTGACAATTTTCTCGACTGACTGACAATGTTTCTTCTTTTTCCCCATTTAGAATACAAAGATTAGTACATTTTAGCTTATGATTAATATTATATTTTTACCTATAGTTTACCTAGATTAAGCAAAAAGCAGACTAAAAACATGTCCATGAATAAAATTAATTGGAGAGGTGGATATATAATATTAGAGAATTTTATCCTTTATTAGCCTTGCTAAAAATTGCACTAAAATACCAATCGGATTTAGTCCTCCGTTTTTCTAAATTACCACAATCTAACCACAGTCTAATTTCAGCCAGCAAACACAGAACAACTAGAGAGATTTGCCATGATACTACCGTCAGTATTAAAACACCACACCAAGACAAATAATACCTCTGCTATTCTGAAGTACTTTGGAAGTCTGCTCCCGGTGTTCACTCAGATACAGAGCGAGGAACACAAGATAATGGTACTGGACTTACTTTGTTCTGTGCTTTTTATTAATTTATTGCTTTCTACAATCATATAATATATAATAATTATTAGAAGCGATAATGTTAGAGTCAAGAGTGGCTGACTGTGACTGATGTGAACTGACACGTTCATTTCAAGTTGATCAAGTACAATACTATATATTGAAACAATACTATATATATTGGTACAATATTGTATAATATTGGTACAATATTATATAATATTGGTAGTACAATACTATATTTTTCTACAATATTATGTAATATTGGTACAATATTATATTATATTGGTATGTAATATTATATATTGGTACAATATTTGTTAACAGTTAAATTCTTAATTGTGTAGATCTACTTTATCTAATGGTTATTATTAAAAGTTAATACTCCGAAAACTTTACAGTTGTTACAAGGGTTGGCCGAGACAGTTCAATCCTCCATTACCGAAGAAGATGCTGCGCTTTGTTTAGACGGTAAGTCAAATAAAGCATTTTGATTTCTAGAATATTGATCACAGTAGTTTATTCGAGTTTAAACAGCTATAAAGTCGGTACCCGTAGTAAATCCAAACAAAAGTACAGTAAACAGTTGCATTGGTGCACTCCGGGTAACAGTTTCCATCACCTGCACCCCGGGTAACAGTGTCCATCACCTGCACCCCGGGTAACAGTGTCCATCACCTGCACCCCGGGTAACAGTGTCCATCACCTGCACCCCGGGTAACAGTGTCCATCACCTGCACCCCGGGTAACAGTGTCCATCACCCGCACCCCGGGTAACAGTGTCCATCACCCGCACCCCGGGTAACAGTGTCCATCACCTGCACCCCGGGTAACAGTGTCCATCACCTGCACCCCGGGTAACAGTGTCCATCACCTGCACCCCGGGTAACAGTGTCCATCACCTGCACCCCGGGTAACAGTGTCCATCACCTGCACCCCGGGCTCCCGGGTAACAGTGTCCATCACCTGCACCCCGGGTAACAGTGTCCATCACCCGCACCCCGGGTAACAGTTTCCATCACCCGCACCCCGGGTAACAGTGTCCATCACCTGCACCCCGGGTAACAGTGTCCATCACCTGCACCCCGGGTAGCAGTGTCCATCACCTGCACCCCGGGTAACAGTGTCCATCACCTGCACCCCGGGTAACAGTGTCCATCACCTGCACCCCGGGTAACAGTGTCCATCACCTGCACCCCGGGTAACAGTGTCCATCACCTGCACCCCGGGTAACAGTGTCCATCACCTGCACCCCGGGTAACAGTGTCCATCACCTGCACCCCGGGTAACAGTGTCCATCACCTGCACCCCGGGTAACAGTGTCCATCACCTGCACCCCGGGTAACAGTGTCCATCACCTGCACCCCGGGTAACAGTGTCCATCACCTGCACCCCGGGTAACAGTGTCCATCACCTGCACCCCGGGTAACAGTGTCCATCACCTGCACCCCGGGTAACAGTGTCCATCACCTGCACCCCGGGTAACAGTGTCCATCACCTGCACCCCGGGTAGCAGTGTCCATCACCTGCACCCCGGGTAACAGTGTCCATCACCTGCACCCCGGGTAACAGTGTCCATCACCTGCACCCCGGGTAACAGTGTCCATCACCTGCACCCCGGGTAACAGTGTCCATCACCTGCACCCCGGGTAACAGTGTCCATCACCTGCACCCCGGGTAACAGTGTCCATCACCTGCACCCCGGGTAACAGTGTCCATCACCTGCACCCCGGGTAACAGTGTCCATCACCTGCACCCCGGGTAACAGTGTCCATCACCTGCACCCCGGGTAACAGTGTCCATCACCTGCACCCCGGGTAACAGTGTCCATCACCTGCACCTGGGTAACAGTGTCCATCACCTGCACCCCGGGTAGCAAGACAGAGCTTTTCATCTACAAGTGAAACAAATTCTTTATATTATGGACTATGGAGTCAGCGTGCGGCTGAATTTATAGTGCCCTGATGGTTAAACATAGTTATATTACAAATATATTATATAGGTATAATGCAGTATAACAGAGAATCTAAAGTGCTTCAATGGTAGCTAATGCGCCAGAGATTGGCTTTGGATTTTAAAATAAATTCTAAATGGCTACGATTATGACATAGCCTACTTTTTAGAGTAATTTTCAGACTAGACCTAGAGGGTTATAGAATTGAGACAAATACGTCATATTTTAAAACCAATCTTTGGTCGTGATTGGTTTTAGTTGGAGGGTCAAGAAAAATACGTCATATTTAACTTTCTTTAAAGGTTAGTTGGTTATTCTTGTGACAGTCATTTATTATTATAACGTCTATACTGGTGACTATTTGGGGTTTTCCTACTGTGAGTTGCTTCATAACAATATAGCTTTCCATGCATTGGAAAGATGACTTTATATTTATAGTCCCAGATGTTTAAATGCTTCAATTATGGTCTCTAATGGGCGACCAGGGATTGGCTTGGTTAAATCAAAAAAGGCTAGAACATGAAAATAGCAAGGAATGCACGCACTGTACAAAACAATTAAATTTACGCTTCAAATTAGGGTTGTAAGGTGGATTTAAACAAAAAAAAACAAAAGATGCCAAACAAATTATTTGAACGAACGATTTATTCCTAAACTTACATAGAGCTGTTATTTCAACAAAATTAATTTAATTTTAAAACTTCACTAGATAGCTAGAAAACAAGAAATTTTGCCCAACAATTTTGTTTGACATGTCCCTTCTTGACGTTTTTAAAACTTGTGGATGACGTGGGCCTAGGTATTTCAAAAATGCATTATTTGTTTTGAGAACATAAAAAGAGAGTTAAAAATTATACGTTCTACAGTTCTAAAGAATTATTGAAGATTCAAATGCCATTAAATGGTACGGATAAACACGTGGGCGCCTGATATTGTTACCTGGGCGCCTGATACTGTCACGTGGGCGCCTGACTAACATTCATGACACTGTCACGTGGGCGCCTGATACTGTCACGTGGCCTGGCCCCTGGGCGCCTTTTGTGTTCTAACACAATAAGGCCAGGCAGTCTATACAAAATACAAACCCGATTCAAGTTGAAATTCACAAATAAAGCAATTTCACAACGATCAGACAGTCTGAATGAGCTAAGGTGGGTGTTGGGAGTAAGTAGTTGGTATTATAGTTAATGGGATGGTACTCAAATTGTGAATCAATTATGTTGGAGGATAGGAACTAGTAGATTACATTTAGTCAACCATTTAGTTGGGGGGGGGGGGGATCTGACTCGATATTAATCGATATTTGGGCTGACCCCACGCCTACCCCACACCGTCAAAATTATTGCAAGAACCGTTCAAGAGTAGTTCTAGGAAACATTTTCATCAACAATCAAAATTATTGCAAGGAATGCACATAAATAAATAAGCAATTCATAAATAGACTGTAGCTTAATTTGAAATCACAAATTCATTTGGACTTGTAAACTTGGATTTAAGTACCGCTTGAATCGAGATTACCCAAGTTTAGTCGTGCTCAATGGGGATGTGACCACTGACCAGTGATCATCTACCTGCAAATGGTCACACCTCTTAGATATTTTAGACATACTCTTCTTTTGAGCCCCTTGGGTGGATATAAATGCCTACCTTTGGTATAATTGGGGGGGGGGGGGCTCATGTATAATGGCCACCCTAAATTTGGCCGTGGGAATATAGTTGGTTCGTTTTGGTTGTTAGTTCTATTGTAACTCGGCAACCAACTAGAACGAGCTAATTTTAACCGTGCATTGGGAATATTTAACACCTTAGTTCAGCTTGTTATGCAATTATTTTAGCTGTTTTATACTGTAAAGTCAAATATTTTCGCAGGCACTCATTTTAGGGAATTTGCAAAATTGGAATCATGTTAACCGCATCAACTGTCACGAATTTGAATGATTTATTTGGAGGAATGCGTTACAAGCAATTACTTTTCCGACACAACTTCTCTTGTGTCCTAAATAATAGTAATAACAATACAATAATAAAAAAATGCGAAAATAAATTCCCCACAGAAATTAATAAAAGTCTGCCCAGGTATTTACTCACTACTCCTCACGTACCTACCTGAGAATGCCCCCACAGACGACGAGATAGAGGACCCCCCATCTCTCAACTTCTCCGCTCTGGAATGCTTGCTTTACGCTCTAAACAGAGCAGCCAGTCAGGTAATTGGATATTACTCACGTGACCAGTCCAGTAATTGGGTATTAGTCATGTGATCAGTTCTTGGCTAGACTTGAAAATATAAAGGGGCACATTAAACCGGACAGAATACCAATTATTACTGTTTCAGGTGGAATTGGAAATGCAAAGGGTCAATTTTGACAGGTTGAAAATATTTATCTAGAAAAGTAACCTTATTATATAATAATGTTTCCAGAACTCCTGGTTGCCGCGTTTACCACACACTTTACCGGAATTGTATAGACAGTTAATATTACCAGACAGAGCATATTAAAGGGAATTAGTTAAGCTTAAGTGCAATGAATTGGAATTCTCTGCAGGCTGCAGGCGCAAGCAGTAATCACGATCAGATCGAATTCAAAATTTTCAAGGCAATCCAAGTCAACCTTTTATATAACGTATTACAAATTGTGTTGCTCCCACCAGACTTTATTGTCAAAGGTTACCTTTGTCTGTTTATTTGCCACGTGACTAATCACAAACCAATTGCAATCCTAACCCACACCCTCTAAAGATCTTAATATATCTCAGCGACCATTATTGCAATGAAACCGTGCTACCAGACAAAATCATCTAAAAATACTAGCTTGTATTATTGTTGTTACCAGATAACTATTTTAGTTCCATGCCCGTTACAATAAAATAAACCAGAGATTTAACCTCCAGCAGCTGAACTGGTTCACCCCTGAAACAAGTATTTTACTCTAAAGTACCATCCATTCAGGTTCCAGCGTTCCTGAAAGAAGAATCTAGAATGACAGAAATCACACCAAAACTTAACTTTGTTTTACGCTGCTGCACATGCTTCGCAAAACGACTCAAAGGATCTTCTATCGGTAAGATACAAATTCAGTTTAAATGTTTAAACATGACTTCTTCTGCCCTGTGCGCTACACCCACTGGGCATCACCTGCCTCAGTGGTACTTCTATAGAAAGTGTTCATAACGTGACTACAGTTTAAAAGAAACCTTTCGCAAAACTTTTGTTTTGTAAAGCAGTGCCTGAGAGTGCAACAGTGCCAGCAATCGTTCTGAACTGATACGGGTATTTAGAACCTACAATTAAAATTTAACAGCTTTCTAACGATTTAACGAAACAATTTAGTGGTTTTAAATATTATTTAAATTAACATGTCTTAAACAGGCGAAGACACCCCAGACAAAGTGAAACTAAAGACTAAAGCTTATAAAACCTGTAATAACACTAAAGAACTCGCCCGAGTAAGTTATGTATATTTCATCGGGACACCGGTGGTGTGGAAACCACCAGTGAATCTGCGTTTTGATTGGTCTATACTGGAAGCTGATTAGTTAGTTGCTGTCTCATCTCCACCAATCCAAATCTAGGAGTAGTCACTGATATTACAAAATATATATGTTCAGTTCATCGTGAAATTACTGCTGGAAGTAGTTTAAGCCGATATAGTCATAAATGAAATCTTGATATTGATTTATAAATACGTTAAAATAGTAATAAAGTATACTAAAGAGTATCACGATATTACGTTCATAAAGAACTTTTTAGCGACGTCTAGTTGAGCATTTAAACTCCAGTTTAACAAATCTGTCACTCACACGTCAAATTTAAAAAACAGTAAGGATAAAAAACTAAATCATACTTTTCATCGGAGAGAACCACCATTTTAGGGTTGAGATATATAATAATATTTGAACTATAAATAGATAGCCTTTTAATTGTCTAGACAACACGTCATACTTGTAGTTTATAGATAAATCATAGAAAGTTAAACTATAGCTTTAGGTGGATAACGGATATTCACCACCACAGTAACCACAGCTCAGTAACCACAGTAACCACAGTAACCACAGTAACCATTAACGACAATAACCACTAAACTATATCCTGGGTTAAACCGATTCTCTATAATTGTCTGATTGAATTTGTTGAAACTTGAAAGTAATAATAATAAATTGAAGTTTATAATAACACCACTTTTAAGATAAATCTTAACTCAGCAGTGTTTAATCTAAACATCTCAGAAAAGTACTTAAATAAGATAAGAACTGGTAACGTATGCTTGAAAATATATCGCTAAGTCTAATGACAGAAAATGAAACCAAATATGTCTAGAAACTTTGAAGTTCCTAGCTGAAAGCGTTCCCACTTTATGGTGATAATAGTGAAAATGTGGGAGGGGCGTGCCACACCCTCTTACCTAGTGGTCGACACTTTGACAGTCATCACACTGTTATGGATTATATGGCACAGTTGACATGAAAACTTTTTCTTATCAGTCATTATCATGTCACCCATCTCAATATTTTGAACTTCGATAGTACCTCACATGAATTTATCGACAGTTAACTCTCTTTCACTACGACATTCTTAACTTTGTCACACAGTATCACATTTTCATTAGACACCTACATTTTGAGAATCATTTAATTTTCGAATGGAACTTTACCGAATTAAAACCTAGTGTGTGTGTTTGAGCGATTTGTACAACATTTCTGTAATGTTTCAAATTATATTCAAATGTTCTAATGTTCCCTCTTAAATCAATGAAATTTTACGAAACTTTCGGGAAATTTAAGTTTGACCAATATCTATATTTTCTGAAATTTGTGTGCAATTCTGAAACGAATTACGTAAGTTATTAAAGGGTTGCGTGTGGGCAGTTACTTTTGGGCCACCCTGTATATTATGTAAAAATCGAACACCAATATTATAACTACTACATAGAATCATACAGTGGGGTGACATATGTTTCCGTCACTTCTGAATGCGCGCATTTTAGCGCGCCAGTTTGCGTGCACGTCACGTGAAATTGTTAGCAGTGAGTGTAATCACGAGTCTGGAGAATTTGTCTAGTACAAGGCCCAGACCCTTTGTGGCGATGTAACATTTCTGACACCACTTAAACCTGAGGAACAGGGAAGTGTTCACAATATCCAACTTAGCATGGTAAACTTATATATATATATATATATATCTCTGGCTGAAGATTAACAACTCTGTCGGTATTTATTTTAATCAACTGAGAAACGTTTGGTCTTGTTACCTTATTAATTTCATCGAAATCGAACAATGCAGTACAAAGATATTCCGTTTTAAACTTCATGGTAATGTTGAAGTAGAGAAAAATTCGTCGCTTGCTATTAAAACATGTGCTCCTTCATAAATATTATCATTATCGTGATGTAACCCCTTATTTATGGGCCTGACAGTCTCTTCTGAAGCACGAATGACCTTAATTTCTACCGTCCGAGAAAAGTTCAGAATTTTCTCTAAACACCCATTTTTGAATTTTGTAAATCGGTGGTCCGGAAGCAGAGTTATGGTTCAATGAAAGTTGTTAGTTTAACACTGTTTGTATTGTCATTGTCAGAAGTGACGAAAACATATGTCACCCCACTGTATAACAATAAAGGAAGTTTCAATTCAATATCATTCAATGTAACAGTTCACGGCTATATCACAGTTGTTGCGGCAACTCTATTCAAGTCCCTAATCTGTATTCAAGTCCCTAATCCCTAGCGCTCAATCACTGACATCTAACCAATTTGTTGCTATTTTCAGAACCTATTTGATCTTAAGTTTTTGACCATTACGAGCTGAATAACGGTTCTTTGAAAGGCTATTTAGGATCCATTACTTGTTAATAATTTGATTTGTAGGATTCAATTTATCTTTAATCTCATCGTCCACCAAACTATAAATGACTTCTGGAGGAGTTTTGGGGCGGTCACAGTATGAAAATAACTTTCAGTAAAACGCGAAAACATAATTGTCAACTTAAAAGCGCTAAATTCTCTTCAATTCGATCGATTAATTTAATTTAATGCCAACTTTCGCGCGCGCAAACAAATCTATGCAACATGGTGAACAAGACTTGCGCACGTTGTTTCGTTGTGTAATTATTGTAATAATTATCTGTTTCAGGGCCTAATCTCCACACCCCTCTCCTACAAATCAGACACCAACTTCTCCTGGAAAGTGGACCTCACTAACGTCACGTAAGTTTGTCCGTTACTTTTGTTGTTAAAAGATCATTTTGTGTGTCCGTTTATTGGTCTGTGGTTAGATACACAATCATTTATCATTATATATATTGCATTTGTTAACTCAAACGCTTCAAAGCCCAACAGTCATGGGTGGCAAAATCAAAATGATGATCACGAAAAAAATACGCAGAAGGGTTACAAAGGAAGTTAACACCGTCCTTTACTTCTAGTGGGTCCTGGGTAGTAGAGATTAAAGATAAAACTTAAAACGACTATATACTATGTAGCAGGGAGTAGTATACTAGAGTACATAGTTCAGACAGAACACGAAACACAATATCATGACAATATCATGGCAATATCGTTGAGATTTTGTGAATGGTAAAGTTATAAAGCATAATTCTATAGGCTATCATAACTTGCAAGGTTAAAACGCATATACTTGAATTTCTCGCGGCTCACTTCGTATTACAAAACTGAACAGTATTATTTAACTAAAATTAATATTTTTTTACCGTCTGAGATAAAAGACATATAATATAAATCAAGAGGGCACTTTAAATTGTGGAGCCATCGTATTTAATTTAAACATGATTTATTTTAAACATGATTTAATTTAAACATAATTGCAATTCCACGGAGTTATAACAATGTAACATAACTATAAAATGCTCATGATGCAAAAGAATAGCTGCACTGAAGCATCTCTTCTTTTATAACCTTCACTCATTGTATCCCTAACTTACAGTGCATTGTATTCCTAACTTACAGTGCATTGTATTCCTAACTTACAGTGCATTGTATCCCTAACTTACAGTGCATTGTATCCCTAACTTACAGTGCATTGTATTCCTAACTTACAGTGCATTGTATCCCTAACTTACAGTGCATTGTATCCCTAACTTACAGTGCATTGTATTCCTAACTTACAGTGCATTGTACTTATGATCCGTAATATCACGTGATGAAACTCACAAAATGACAAGTCTGCTCAACAGGAACAGATTGTTTAGTCCCCTGGTGTCCGACACGTAAGTACGCACGAGGAATCTCCTTTTATTGTAGCATGATGTGTCTTCTTTTTATTATTTTGTTGTAGTCGAGATAAAGAACGCGGTGTTGTGGGTTTTATAAGGGGATACTGAGTGTTAAACACGTGATCAGTTCTTCAGTAACTTTATTGTAGAGTTCGCGAGCTCTTATAATCATGTTACAATAGAATACAACAGGGAACATTAAAGTTAAAGAACATTCTTTACAGACCGACTTGATTCATCTTAGTTATATGCTTTTCAAGTATTTTCGCAGATCATTCAGCACTTTTAATTCTTTCTTGATGTTTTCTTCCTAGAAGCTTTATCTTTCGAAATGAGCATGATATTGACATAGTATTAATTCTGCGGAGTAAGTTGTAAAAGTAACCCGTTCCTCCGCTGTATCCTCTGTCTCCCAGCACCAGTAAGCGAGCACCCAAGCCTCCCGTGTCCCCCTCCCCCAAGCGGAGGAGACCCTCTGACAGCACCAGTCAGCGCCGCGCGCAGCAGGTCTACGCACCCCCTCAGGGTCGTTACAGTGGTAACATCTCAGGTTAGTGAGCAGTTCTTTCACAATCAGCTTAAAGATTTGTTACTTTCAATTTGCCCCTGAGATAAGCCGGGGGAAAAGAACAACCGATTTAAATACAAATTAAAAATGGGGATGGTGTAATTTTTAGCGGTCTCCGGGGCCAGTGAGAAGTAACAGCACTGTCCATTATTTTAGTTGTGTATAGGACAAAGTATCTTCGCATAACTTAATAACATTACTTTTTAAAATCGCCAATGATGCACTCGATTTACTTGCTAACACTTGTATATTGTAGGAGCTAATGGTAAAGAGGAGGGCAAGCGTGAACGAAAAAGATACTAAACTTCTTCTTCAGCACCCTGGACTGGTTGATCGACTTTGGAATGACAAAATATTTCGAAATAATATGACTCCGAAGTTTTCACGACAAAGGGCACTTACAAACTGTAAACGAAATCGTGTCCTACTTTGGCCGTATCTGTTTTGACATCAATATTATTTAAGACCAAGCTGTTTAATTGAAAGTTTCTATGTTTTTCTCTTTTAATTTATGTACTCAGATTTGAATTTCATGACATAATATATTTTATGCTGGTTACGGAATAAATTTCAGTTTCTTCTCGGGTTCTTATATTTGTGCATTATCTTAGATATTACGTCGCTTCATGTGAGTTTATATTTTGGTTGTATTTATTGTTAATGTATTTGAACCATCTTTTATCCATTTACCTTATTGAAGACATTTTATTGTATTACTTTGATTTTTATTCACCTCCTGGACGCGATATTGACGCGCATTTTGAAAATTTCGCAACACTCGCTACTGTTTTTAGATGTGGTCCATGGTCGGTGCGACTTTCACACGAACGGCTTAATTGCATCACCTACCTTAAAAGATACAATTTTATTTTGGATTGAAAATTTTCTCAGTTTCGTGAGCTTTAAATTTAAAATTCTGCTTGATATGGGCCAGGTAGGGAACCAGGTGACGGAGCCTAATTAAAAGTATAATGAAATCGATTCTAAACACATTCACCACCAGTTTAAAAAAGGGGTTGGTCAATTGGAGGCTGTATGTGGGGAACAATTTAATCTAGCGCTACAGCAATGCCAATAGTAATAACATAATATATAAATATAACTGAATTGATATAAAGAAAAAACAACCAAGCAAAAATAAGGCATTAGAAAAATTGAAGCTTCCCAGTTCCAAAGCGACTGAGATTCGATAAACCAGTTATAACTAGTACCGTAAACAGAATATTGTGAGCTGTAACTTAAGTTATAAAAGGGCAGCAGAAGTAGCACTTTGAGCACTACCGGTTTAAAGACCATTTTTGAAATTCTGAATTCTTTTTAACCCAAAATTCTTTTTTGGATCAAGAATTATCCCTGAAAACCATTGGAACCAATCCTCAGCCCCTAGAAACCCCTTTTTGGAACCGCTTAAAATGTCAAAAGTGTTAAAGAACCTTTTGTGTCCTGTCTGGAAAGTTTGAAGACAATTTTATTGTAGGAATAGAATCTGGGGCGTCACCTGTGTTCCGTAGTGCACCATGGATCTTTTTAAAAGAGTGAAATAATCAGGTAATGAACCTTTTTTTTAACTGGTGCGGTGAACGCTTTTAGATTTAAAATTGGTTTTATTATAGTTTTATAGGTTCCGTCATCTCTTCAGCTAGAAAGATGGGGACTTCACACAGACCTAGCCAATCGATTCCTACCTGCAGCACATTTCAAGCGGAATTTTGAGGTTAGGCTCCGGTTTTACTCTAAGGTCACGATTCACGAAACTGAGCGAAATTGTCAGTCTAAAATAAAAATGTATCTTTGTAGGTAAGTAGAGTGAGCTGTATTTCAGTTGAGCCGTTCGTTTTTAGTTTCGTGAATAGCCACAACGATTCCCTACAAGATGCACACTAGGCAATAATACGGGTGTGGTTGTAGTAACGACCACACCTACAAACAGTTGCTGAAGTGTTGTGAAATTTTTTAAGTGCGCGTGAATACCTGATCTTGAATACTCAATACCTGATCGTGAATACCTGATCGTGAATACCTGATCGTGAATACCTGATCGTGAATACCTGAGCGTGAATACCTGATCGTGAATACCTGAGCGTGAATACCTGATCGTGAATACCTGATCGTGAATACCTGATCGTGAATACCTGAGCGTGAATACCTGATCGTGAATACCTGATCGTGAATACCTGATCGTGAATACCTGATCGTGAATACCTGATCTTGAATACCTGATGGCGTCCAGGAGGTTTTATTGGTCGCCTAGTCCCTAGACTCCTCCGACATGTTAAGATGGTAATGATTACTTTTATTAACGCGGGGTGTCGATTGTGGCTCAATAAGAATAAAACTTTCAAGGAATGGGCCTTCCGCCTTGACTTAAACTTTTTATGATATGTTTTCCTGTCCCAACTGGCTAATATTGTGTCTTACTTTTTCTACTTTGCAAATGAGCGACCTGCGAGATCGTTTAATCCGACAAGTTAATGATCCATTTTTGGCCTTTAATGTTTTGGTCGTCCCAGATATTACTATAGTACAAAGATAAAAATCTTGTGAAAAAAAAACATGATTTCTTTAAAAAAGCTACAATAGTCAACGTCTGATTCTGAATCATACAGCATACTGCTTATTTCTTCAAATCTCCGATTTTACAACAGACAGAAATTCAATTAAAAACCAACAGATAAAAAGATTAATTTTAACAAAAAAGCAAAAAGATATTTAACAAAACTATGCTGACAATAAAATCTGAAAATTCAAAATAGAACTGTACAATTACAAGTCAAGCAGTCTATATAAGGGATTGTTCACACTTCACATAATAACATAATATTACGTAATCACTTTTTAAACAATCTTTACGCCCCCCCCCCCCCCCCCCCCCCCCCCCCCCCCCCCCCGTAACAGTTTTACACATAGTTATTGTGTCAAACTTACACTAGCGTAAACATTTGGAAACCCCCCTCCCGCTTACCTCCCCCCTCTGATAGTGATAACGTAATATTATATTAACGACCCCCTAATAAATAAAGATAAAAACTGTAACAACATGCTGCAAATGAAATTTTTGGAAGTGCCGTAAAAAGTATTAAGAAAGTAGACAGTAACGTATTATCTCCTGGATTCTATCCCATGAATAACGTTAGCCCCACCAGTAATTAACATTGCCCTCTTTTCTTTGTTCTTGCATAAAGTTATGACAGAAAACATAAAGTTATGACAGAAAACATTAATCTCTTCGGAGGCCCTAACATTATCACTATTATAACTAACGTATATAATAAGTGTACAGTGCAGTATATTATACTGAAACATTAAAACTAAGAAGGGTAAAATACCACTAGCATTTTATTCCAATCCATTTCTCTGGATGTATAGGAAAATGTTCGCCTGTTGTCTAAATCATATTTAGGGCGGAGTGTATTTAAATGGAGTTTCTATAATATGTTGTAAGAATAAGATGTTAATTATTATTATAGGCACCTCCGAATTGGATGGTTTAAACTCGATAGATTGATGTTATCACCTAAAGATTGTCAAGTTCACATTTACACAAACTATACCATTATATCTTTTATTCGATGCTAACATTTTTGTTTCCTGCACTTTAGTTTTACATCTTCTTAGACTTTGTTATCGTTTATTTCATTACTTAATACAGTTCCCTCTTTAACACCATCCTTCTGAACTTCTGTTTTATTTGTCTCTTTTGCTTTCTTCTTGCTGAGGGGTTTGTGCATTAAATATATTATGTAAAATGGTATAGAGTTTGGGGGAAGGAAATAACCGCGGTAAATCGGGGTTTGCGGTAAATCGGGGTTTTGTTTGTTCACATTATGCATGTTAAGCCCTATAATTGGGGAAGGAAATAGCCGCGGTAAATCTGGGTTTTACTGTACTACACCCTGTCTTTCCTGTGGGTGATAATGAATGATAGATAACACCGTGCTGAACTAATTAAAATCAAGTTTATTGTTCAACGACGATATAATCCTTCTACATTCTGGGTGGTATAGTGTAAGTATAATGCTCCTAACATTGTAAAGCGAAGTATCTGTATTTTTGTCGTACTACTAACGTCACAGTACTAAATACACTTACCTTTTTCCACTGTTTGCACATTCCATTCCTTGTCTCTTGATTAAACAAGCTACCACCACCACTACTAACACCACCACCCCCGCAACTACCAGTATAATTATCAGCATGGGCGAGCGCTTTTTATCTGCAACGACAGAGAGATATTGTTAAAAAGTTCATAATATGTCAATCTGATTGAGGGTGTCGTGACGGTGAGATTACCAAATGCCATGCATATGAAAAGAAAAGTGACGAGTGGTACATGTCACGTGATGTGGGGACTCTGGAGACTTGTCACACGATCATGTGGTGTGAATCCAGCAACTGCAAGACATCATCATCATGACCATTATAAGCTGAGTTATAATACAGAGTTAAACAATTTCTAGTGTAATTACAATAGCCCCTCCCTGGAGGACTCACGTAACAATATTAGAACTATCATGTCGTTTTTTGTAAAAGGATAAATGTTAAAGTTAAGAACATCATTAAAAATTGTAACTCACCTTCGTCTTGGTCGGTTACTTCCTCTATATCATTCTCTGCTAAAACACACTTCGAATCGGAAACAGTTCCATCTCTCTGACAGATCATCTCAGTTTTCAGAATATATCCCGGAGCGCATTTAACAGTGAAGCTCTCACCAGCGTTCACCACATCTGGACTGATATTCTCAATATGATCACTGTTTGGAATGTCTGTAGGCTTGCTGCACTTTTCTGGTTATAAAATTGTGTCAGCGATTGGTTAATCTTCATATAAATGTGGGAGGGGACTGCATTTTTGTAGCGTCGTATGAATATAACTAACACCGATTTGTAGCCTATGTTAATATTGGTTTAAATGTTGGCGACAGTAAGGGATTGTTCAAACAATACGTGAGCCAAATTTTAGCTTTTTTATACCCCTCCAGCTCCCTCCCCCAATACTGGCTACAAAATGGTAACAGGAAACATTCAGCACCCCATAACCTAGTATATACACAGGAGAGGCTAAGTGCAAAGAAACTGCTGCTAACTGCTGCTCACTGCTACTCACTGCTGCTCACTGCTGCTCACTGCTGCTCACTGCTGCTGTCAGTGAGCAGCAGTGAGCAGCAGTTAGTAGCAGTGAGCAGCAGTTAGCAGCAGTTATATGCATGTCTTTACTGCACAACGCACGCTGCGCGCAACTGCTGCTCACTGCTGCTCACTGCTGCTCACTGCTGCTATGGGCGCGCGCGCGACAGCAGCAGTGAGCAGCAGTTAGTAGCAGTGAGCAGCAGTGAGCAGCAGTGAGCAGCAGTTAGTAGCAGTGAGCAGCAGTGAGCAGCAGTTAGCAGCAGTTTCTTTGCACTTAGCCCCTCCTGTGAGTAGGGCTGACCAAAGAAAATGGTGTACCTTGGCTATAATATACCATGTAATTTTACTTACTGGCATCAACTTCTATAGTGCAGCTATAGCTAGGATTATTATCAACACAGGAGTCAGTCGAAATCTTTATTTTAAGACCTTTCAGCAATTGTTCAGCAATTCCCGTAAATTCAAAAATTTGCGGTAATGTCCAGGTTGCACCTGGAGAGAACAGTTATTTTTTCCCGATAGTTAAATTTCAAAATGGTTTGCGTTAAATTTCATGCAACCAGGGAAAATCTTTCAAATGAATGCTTAGTAGCAGATTTGTAAATAAAAAATACTCACATGAATCGGCAGCTGATACACGAAGTCTTTTCGAATCCAAGATTTTATTAGTCGAATCAACCAAATCCGCCTTAAGACAATGAGCTGATGTGATTGGCATGTCTGCTGAGAAAGTCAAACTGACCTTTATATCTTCATCTTCTTTAACATATACAATTACAATTGTTGCTTTCTCACAAATTTGTTGGAATTCGAATTGATTTGCTTGGAGGTTTTTATTCTTATTCTTAAATCTCTCCGTTTTCATTACTTCAAATAACTGATACTGCAGTCCGTATGCCCTCATGTATTGCCAATAGATGCACCTGATTAGAAGATAACAGTGAGATACCTTACTAAGAGAGCGTACATCAGGGTCAGATTTTAAGAGTAAGACCAAATATTAAAATATTTGGTCTTAACTGTGCCCTTATCATGTTTACAGTTTAATTAAGCTGTTATTATTCTCCCCATTGCAATTGGGAATTATAATAGATATTCATCAATTATCATGAAAACATTTTGACACTGCAAGAATATCTATAAAATTAACCTTGTTTGATGGTTCTCCTGTGGATCTGGAAGTTTTAGTTCATATTGAGCTTGATCTATACCTGCCCTATCTTCATAGTCAAAATTCTGATCAGTGTCCGTAATGAACTGGATTTTGTAATCGTTAAGGTAGAATTTCCAGTTGTCTGCTTTCAATAAGATCTGAAATTTTTGTAGTTAGGACCTGGGGGTCCTTTCCGAAACGGTACTTAAGTCAACAAGAATTGCGCCCGTTGTTTCGTTTTGGCGGACGCTAGATTTCCGTTCACTATAACTATAAATATAAGCTCCAATCAGCTCACTTCATAATAATAATATTTATACACATCAGTACACAAAACTACGCATGCCACGTACAAATTGGGCTTATAACCTAATACTATACATTGCATAGTATACATTAAAATACACTCGCGCCGCGCATTCATTAAGGTAGACAGGCTAGCTATATACGTCACATCTCCGCAAGCAATACTGGCGCGCTGCACTGCGCGCTAGTTGTCATGGTAACGGACGGAAGTAAGGACAGATGACAACATATTCAGACCCACCTACTGCTATCTCCAAAATCCACGTTTTTCTGCAAAAACGTCCATTCGTAACCTTTCACTATTGCCTTTTTACAAAAGGGTGACCGGGAAAAATGGTACTTATTAAGTAAAAAGTTAACAAAAAGTATTTTCGAAATGAGACTTTTAAAGTGCAAATATACCTCAAATTTATTCTTAACATAATATTATGATCAATATATCAATGTGATTATGAAGTTGAACAGGTTAACAAATTGTTTGAAGTTATCATGGAGGTAAAGTTTCATTTTCCCGTATATTTTATCCTAAGATTGACTCCTAAAAATAACCATAAACATACCTGTTTAGCATTGTCCCCAGCTAGAGCTTCACTAGGCATCATGTAGGCTTTGTTGGGTGCTGCTTTTAAATCATCCCCCAGATTCACACAGGTCCGTGACGTTAAGGGGATGGATAGATACTGAAAGTTTAAGTTTTTATATGTTTTATTTTCAAATAGAAAATAAAACAATTGTCGCTGATCTATAGATAAGAATTCGGAACTTAAGTTAGTATTAAGATGTTAAATTTTTCATTTATTAAAAAACAGGGGGTATTGACAGTAAGATGAGTCACAGTTATTTCACAGATGTAAGTTATTGCAAATAATTCTGGACTTTTACGGTATGTCGATGACCTCTTCCGCTCATTATAAATACAGCTCTGTAGTTTTTCATCTACATTTGGAGCCAGCCATGAAATCATTAGGTTAAAAAAAGGGATTCTCGTATAAATATGTACAAACAGTTTGTTGAATATAAAAAATATACCTTGGGAGCAATCACAACTTTAACCTTTCCAACTCCAAATTGTTTGCTAGTTACATCTGCCTCCACTCCATCAGTAGTTCTTTTGATCTGAGATATATTTATTGTTTAGATTCCTGAGGAATTAAATGCGTTGTTCTTCGTCAGTATTATCAAATGCTGCATCCAACAGCGTCGAACCAAATCCCGCCTGGGTAGAGCTTTAAATCGATCTTTAAAGTACATCATAATTCAAATTTCAAATACTAAAGATCAAGAATTAAAACCTTGCACTGGAACTCGTGTTCTCGATACTTAACTAGATCTCTAACAGTCAGGGTTCGGCCATGGTTGGAAAGCTGGAGATTGGGATGTTTGTCGAAGTCAAGATCCACTGTGAAGGAACGAACATTAGTTTTAAAACTTAGAAACATTAAACAGTGATATAACTATAACCACGCCTCGTGTACCCTAAGATTTTGATTTGGATCGGACACTCAAAACAACGATAGAGGAGCGGTCTACACGCTCACAGACTACCACGTCTCGTGTAACCCCAGGATTTAACACGCTCACAGGCTACCAAGTCTCGTGTAACCTTAGGATTTAACACGCTCACAGGCTACCACGTCTCGTGTAACCCTAGGACTCTAACACTTAACAGACTCTAACACGCTCACAGGCTTCCACGTCTCGTGTACCCTAGGATTTGGTTTTGGATCGGACACTCAAAACAACGATAGAGGAGCGGACTACACGCTCACAGGCTACCATGTCTCGTGTAACCCCAGGATTTTACACGTCCAAAGGCTACCACGCCTCGTGTACTTAGGATTTGGTTTTGGATCGGACACTCAAAACAACGATAGAGGAGCGGTCTACACGCTCACAGGCTACCACGTCTCGTGTAACCCTAGGATTTAACTCGCTCACAGGCTACGACGTCTCGTGTAGCCTTAGGACTCTAACACTTAACAGACTCTAACACGCTCACAGGCTTCCACGTCTCGTGTACCCTAGGATTTGGTTTTGGATCGGACACTCAAAACAACGATAGAGGAGCGGACTACACGCTCACAGGCTACCATGTCTCGTGTAACCCCAGGATTTTACACGTCCAAAGGCTACCACGCCTCGTGTACTTAGGATTTGGTTTTGGATCGGACACTCAAAACAACGATAGAGGAGCGGTCTACACGCTCACAGGCTACCACGTCTCGTGTAACCCTAGGATTTAACTCGCTCACAGGCTAGGACGTCTCGTGTAGCCTTAGGACTCTAACACTTAACAGACTCTAACACGCTCACAGGCTTCCACGTCTCGTGTACCCTAGGATTTGGTTTTGGATCGGACACTCAAAACAACGATAGAGGAGTGGTCTACAATGACGTTACAGGAACATTGCATACTCCTACGAGTTGCATGTAGCAGGCCATGACCGTCCCTGGAAGTGGTAACAGAACTTCAAGACTCTCGGAGTCTGTTGTCGATATCTATGTATAATATAATTATGGTATATAACTTGGGAGTCTCTCTCTCTAGCAGCAGGAGTTGGAGAATGGGGACGCGTTGTGAAAGCCACCGCAAGGAAGGCTTACAGTCGACGCCGACCAATCAAAAGAAGAACTATAACGATGTACAACAGCTGTGATCCATAATTCAAAATCACAAAAATCTTTAAAGAATTTGTCGCTTACCGTCTTGGTTATTTTCCTCGATTTGCCAAATGTAACTAACATCTCCCCATTTACCCCTGCCGGGAGTATCTCTGATGTACACCGTAAAGTTGACATGAGTCGAATCCTGGTCTACCAAATTTGGTTCTGTTATCTCTGATACAGGTCTTAAAAGAAGGGCGCCCGCATCGTTCTGGCCTTGGGATTAAGTAAGTTAGAAAACCAGCGTTAAAATAAAGTTTTACAGTAATTAACTGATCAGAATGCAGTAAGTGTTAAAGACTACCACTAATGATATATCAAACCAAGCATTTTGTCCCTTTTCACACAGTGCAGTATATAATACAAATGTAATGAAAATACTCACCGTTCGATGTGACTTCGTATTTGGAAAGTTCATAAGTCATATCCGTGTCATCAAATTCAGTATCGTATACGGCCTCACACTTATAATTCCCTTGGTCCTCATCTTCATTAAAGATCATGATTAGCAGCGTTCCTCGATCTATGTCATCTTTTGATATCGCACTTATGTCATCTTCGGCTATAACAAGTCTATCGCCCCTAACTTGGTCATTCGGAATGTCTATCACTACCCAGGTTGAAGTATCTTTTTTCTCAAACGACCTGTCACAGTGCAAAAGAGTTTTGAATGTAATCATCTAAATTTATCAATACCATGTTTTTGTTTTACAGTTCATTGTTCAACGCTTTATATCCTAGTTTGATCAAAAAAGAATTGATTGGGTAATACTCCGTACCGTTGGAGATCAATTAAATTGCTTACCACCGGGCCTTGGTTTTCGGATTCGACTCTGGTAGCTTGCAAAGAAGCTTCTCCATTGCTTTTCCAATAGATACAGATTTGGGGTCTGATACGACGGGCAAATTTTCTTTGATAGGTGGATCTGAAATATTTCTTATCTTCATGGCAGCCTGATTATTATGCAAGCATTGGTTTTACTTTAGTACTATTGTATGATAGTTGGTGAGGAAGTGAGAGTCTCCACTCAGTGTTTCAAAACAATTAGTTGTCGACGTTTCGGCAACACGCCTTTGTCATAGACAAATAATTGTTTTGAAACACTGAGTAGAGACTGTCACATCGTCACCAACTGTCAAACTATATGATCAATCCACTCATAAGAGCGAAGAAAGATTACCATTAGTACTTAATTACTGCGATCATGCTTATTGGTAACAAATTGAATTTAAGTTAACGTACAATAAACATCCAGCTTGACAGTATGTGACCACAGTTTGACAACAGCATCATCTATCATCGTTATCTCGGCGTAACACTGATAAATGTGGTTATCTGCTGTGTCGAAAGTATTCTGCATTGATGGTCTGTCTGTGTACTGCACGTTGGTCAGGTCGCAAGTAGGAACATCATCGTCCGAACAGAGCTGTAAATAGTATCAAGATATTATTATAATTTGGTGCTTTTAACAGTGCTTCTTAATGCCTAGATAACTGTAAGATGGTATAAGAACAATCAGAAAAATCTAATCTTTGATGTACCTCTTTGTTCTTGGAGTCGAGAGAGATTGGTTTACTCGTACTAAGATCATAAGTTTTGTGAAACTTGTATACCACTGACTTGATTGCTGGGTGGTCCTTATCACCAAGATCACACCTGACAAGTAAAATATTCGAAATATTTAATATTTTATAGAATATCTAAGATGGGTGCAGAATGGATGAATCTTTTGATCAATCAGTTAAAATTGTGTAGGTCCTAAAATGTCTACTACTCACCTAAGTGACACAGTGGAGTCCTGTTTAGCTATATACATAAAACCATTTTCTAAACTTTTTGTTGTGTCGGATACTTCAGCTGTTAATGATAGGGTTAGATCAGGGCAACAGCATATTTCCACAGAATGAGACAGTTGGGAATGCCTAAAATAAATGTTGTTATAATTGACAATTATTATTGTTTATCTTATATCTAAATACATGTTGTTATAATTGACAATTATTATTGTTTATTTTATATCTAACATGGTCAAAATTGTAAAAATTCTTTAGAATTGATCAATATTTCGGCAAGGAATGAGGAAAACCCGCCTTTAACATTAAATAACTTAAATAATTTCTGCACTCCCAAGATTACAATCCTGTCGTTCGTCTTCATTCAATCTTTGAAGTTTATTAACTATACGTATAACAATTGTATGTACAAAATTCATGACGGTTAACTCACCATAGTACTATCAGTAAGGCCAATAAGTTAGGAAGTGAGCTCATGAATACTGCACTGGGGGGAAGTTGGCAGTATTCTGTTATCCCTTCATCCGTGTCAGTAATTCCATGGTTGCTACATTAATTGTGGTGTTAATAATAAACTATGAAGTATATTTGTGAGCTTTCGCATAAATGGGGAATGATTAAATGTTGGCCATGATTTATATACGAAGTGCGAAGTCAGAGTCTCCACTCAGCTGAAAACAAAATACATCAGGCATTGTCGACGTTTCTGCTACATGTTTTTTTCATAATATAATAGCGTTGTGATTTCACATCGCTGCATCACACGATGGTTCAGACAAATCTACACAACTAAAATATATATAAAGTTGTACAATATACAATTCATTTATATCTAGCAATGAGATTTAAAATATCTAAAAATGTTCATAGAAACAAGCATAAGGCTAAAGAAATAAGTTTGAGGAATCTATAACAATCAAATGTTTAAACGCACTCTGAACTAAGAAAATAGAAAAGTTTTTCAGATTAAATCGTTTATCAAAACCCGCTATAATCAATAATAGAAATAATATATATATATAGGTTCCTTTACTTCGCTTTCCAAGTGTACTAATCTGATCCCCTCACTTATAGACTCAGATAGCTGTGTGTTATTTTCCACCTCATTGCTGGCTATATTTTAATTACATAGATTTATTTTAACCATTGTTCTGTAAAATGCCGTATTATCGTATAAGGTATCCAATATTTGATCGGAATATATATTGTATGTACAATGCAGTAGTAATCTGAATGTATAAAGAGATAATGTAAGCAACGATCATGAGTTTATTATAATGTAAAAACGGAAACAAAAATAGCAGAACATGTAATATCAGTGACATAACACATCTGCATTGGAAGTTAGACGGATCATAAGCAAGTCTCTACTTGTGTTCAAACAAACCGAACAATCAGAAGAATGATAATTGCCACTGCACGTTCAATGTATACAGTGTAGAGCCTACAACAACATAACAAACACAAACCAACACTACGAACATATGGAACAATATACTCTATCTCAATGTATGTACATACAATAGAAGTGTTTAGCGAGTGAATACAAAAGACCTGCTACAACTATACGATAATATTATTCAAAGCTTTTTTATCATAAGATGGTTAACGATCTAGTTTTATAAATGTACACAACATATTATAATGATGAAATCATGTTGCTTCTGTATTTGCGGTACGTTTACTCGGCAAACAACATCGTATCCATCACGGAAAATATACCGCGTGGTATTTAGTGATTAGTCGCAACGTTCACTGTCGCTGTAGTGCAGCATTCATATTATATGGTTTTAGTGTAACTTGAGAAGTGAGGTTAATCAAGCTTATGAATGTAATATAATGTAATATAAATGTAATTTCCTCCCTCCAGGCTGATAATTCTCACAAAGTGAAAAACATGCATTTCCTCATCATTGGAAGAGTGATTATAGGTTATCTTCCTGTGGAAGCGTAATTAAGAGCTTCATTGTGGTCATCACCATGTATATTGGATCATTCGACATTGCATAATTACGAAAACTAGAGCAAACAACAACCCTCGACTTATTAACTTGCACAACAATTAAAATAGAAAGTCGCACCAATATGCACACAACTAAAGATAAGGGAGAAAAAAATAATATTTACTCAAAGAGTCAAAGAAACTACAGACTAATACTATGAGTATGGAAACATTGCATAGTAATCGTATTATAGGACGTCAGTATCGTGGCAGCTTTTATCGTCATGGCAACCTTTCTTTAATAAAGGCTGCTATTCTGCTTTACAAGTTTAAAGCTTAAGAATGCTCCTCAAAATTGCTTGCAAATAAAGATCTAAGCGATTCCATTCGGTAATTGACAACTGGTAACCAGTACACTGGTAACCAGTACACTGACAACTGGTAACCAGTACACTGACAACTGGTAACCAGTACACTGACAACTGGTAACCAGTACACTGACAACTGGTAACCAGTACACTGACAACTGGTAACCAGTACACTGACAACTGGTAACTACTACACTGACAACTGGTAACCAGTACACTGACAACTGGTAACAAGTACACTGACAACTGGTAACCAGTACACTGACAACTGGTAACCAGTACACTGACAACTGGTAACCAGTACACTGACAACTGGTAACCAGTACACTGACAACTGGTAACCAGTACACTGACAACTGGTAACTACTACACTGACAACTGGTAACCAGTACACTGACAACTGGTAACCACTACACTGACAACTGGTAACCAGTACACTGACAACTGGTAACCAGTACACTGACAACTGGTAACCAGTACACTGACAACTGGTAACCAGTACACTGACAACTGGTAACCAGTGCAGTACACTGACAACTGGTAACCAGTACACTGACAACTGGTAACCAGTACACTGACAACTGGTAACCAGTACACTGACAACTGGTAACCAGTACACTGACAACTGGTAACCAGTACACTGACAACTGGTAACCAGTACACTGACAACTGGTAACCAGTACACGGACAACTGGTAACCAGTACACTGACAACTGGTAACCAGTACACTGACAACTGGTAACCAGTACACTGACAACTGGTAACCAGTACACTGACAACTGGTAACCAGTACACTGACAACTGGTAACCAGTACACTGACAACTGGTAACCAGTACACTGACAACTGGTAACCACTACACTGACAACTGGTAACCACTACACTGACAACTGGTAACCACTACACTGCTGACTGCAGGTTCAACAGTTAACTTACAGATCATTAACATATTACCTAAGCCAGATTATGGTCATTTGAACCCCCTTCCTACCTCCCTCGGACCCCTTTGTGATCACTTTTACACACAGCTATTGTGTAATGTGTGTACATCAATTTCCAAGCCCCTTCCCCACTTACGTAATATGTGAATGATCCCAACTCCTATCACACTTAGAGCTCACAGAACACAGCACTAGAAAGCTACAAGGTAATACGCTAATGAGCGCAGTGTGGTAATCCTTTATATTACATAGAGCTAGTGTATAACTAGTGTGTGTATATTTAATATTAGACACTGTATACAGGAGCTAATGTGGGGTGTTCATCCCAGTGCTTAACCTGGCTTAGTGCCAGGGTATGATAACATTGGAGATCGACGCAGTGATGATGCAGTGATACTTGTTATTCCAATATATTTGAAAACTTCCGTGCAAATGTGTGCATATTCACATAAAATTGAGATATTGATGAGTGAGCATAAAGTTTAGCCTGTATATATGCTCAACACTACTATATAACAAATAATTTGAGGAAACGATGTAACAGAGTCGATATATTTTAATGTTCCCATGGGGTGGCAAGTCCCCATACATCGTGGTCCGGTAGTTTCATTGCGTCCTAATATATGAGTCCTCAAACCTGGAATAGTCAAGTTTTGTTCTTTTCAAAAGCACCTTTTACAGCTATTTCTCAGTACGATAGCTATACCTACTTGCCCCAGCAAGGGCATTATAGCCGTGTAGTCTATAAAAATGGATAAAGATGTAGGTATGCGTTTACCATTCTTGTGGTTTCAACTTTTCATTAAAGCTAACTCCAATCATTACTCATAAACTTTTCTTCATTTAGACATTATGTTCACTTTTATGTTACTCTATTTCCGCCACTATATCTCTGATCCTACCAACTACCGTTCACTCCCAAAATTGTGACCACCGAGCACACTTCAGTAGGAAGACAGAAGAGTTAACAAGGAATACTGAAATCGGGATTTTGATTCTTCTCATACATACGTTAAGCCCTTTTGGGGGAAGGAAATGGAAATCTGGGTTTGCGGTAAATAAGGCATCATGTAGCTGGCACCATCGCTCAAGGTCGACAAATGTCGACACGGCGACATTTGTCGACATTATAGGGGACATGATGCCTTAAATAGGGCCGCGGTTAATCTGGGTTTGCGGTAAATAGGGGCGCGGTAAATCTGGGTTAGCAGTAAATATGGGCGCGGTAAATAGGGGAGCAGTAAATCTGGGTTTTACTGTACTACGTTAGTTTTATCTAACGTAAATTATACCGTTAAAGCGTGTCTTGAGTAGATTTCAATAATCGCATTCTCGGCACGTGTAGAATATCTCACATATCAACCCACCCATCAACTTAAAGACTACTATTTTTATTATATTCAACAATTCTACACTCATTTTACTCAATACTCATTTTACGTTACTGGTTACTGGTTACTGGTTACTGGTTACTGGTTACTGGTTACTGGTTACTGGTTACTGGTTACTGGTTACTGGTTACTGGTTACTGGTTACTGGTTACTGACACTTTGATGGAATTTGTCAACACAAGCAACCACCCTTAGTAACTTTTCAGTTTATTTCTAACTTTTCTCTTTTCTCTTTTATATTATTATAATTGAGGACAGTCCGACCGTGAACACCATTTTATATTATATAACTAAACTTGGCCTGGAATATTCTTCTATTGGTCGCTTAGCAATGATTAGTCATAACTCATAACATACATAATGATATGATTATCGAGCCCACGATCTTACTCAAGTTGCCAGGGTAACAAGCTACAAAAGTACAAACATTTGAATATTTTTGTAACGGTATAGTTTATTGACATCAAAAAACAGTTACACTTGCTTTTGCTTTCGAGTATAGATAGTTAATACTCAATTAAATACTTGTAAGGATCTCTTAACTTCTTGATAATAATAAGCAAGCAAATGTAGCTGCTTTTGCTTTTGGTTTGTGATATCATGGATAATGAGTGATCTCATAATATTTGATGCATTACATCAGCAGCGCATAATATGCAATATAATGTTACACGTATAATATAAGGCATAATTGCACACACTATCTCCACGGAACTTATATTAGTTTCTCCATCGTCAGTCACAGTGTATTATCACACTTTCGAGCCAAATTTGGCAGGAAAGCAGAATTGATATTACATGCCCCGATGGGGAGCACTGACTCTCACCCGGGGGCATGAAATATCAATTAGTTGCTCAGAGAGAGCCCGATATTCCCATAGGAACAAGGAGCCCACTCTCAACAACTGTTCTACTGCTGTGAGGTACTGATTTAAATAAAGATTTAAATCATCAACCTGAAGTAGTCTATGACCGTTAATGCAATGATCAGATAAACTTTCCAGTATAGGAAAAATGTATATTTATAGTAGGTTTTGAAAATATTTCCTTGTGTTTGAGATTCGTTAAGCGAAATACATTTTTTTGTTGTAAAACTTTTTCAAGCTGTTCCCTTTTTATTGCACTTCATAGTTCAAAGTCTAATTAGGCTTCGGATGATCAAACAAAGTAAAAACTCTCTGGCTTGTACGAGCTTTAAGTGACTTGAGGTCACTGAAAACGAGATCAAAGTTTACAAGCAGACTTGAAAGTTGCAAAAAGTTTTGGTACTTGTCAGCGATACAATCAATCGGGCTCATTAATTTCCTTAAACGCTTACTTGAAATTAAAAAGGAAGTGTCAGAACAAACTACAGTCACCCTCACAAAAAGTAGTAAACACTAAACGATGTTTGATCAATTCGAAGGAAGAAAACACACAAAACAAAGCCAGATTTCAGCCATTTCAGACCTCAATTTTAACCCCCTCTGATCACTTCTTTGAGCCATATTCCATATAGAAATTGTGCAGAAATTATACTTGGCTTTTCCAAACCGGTTTCGCCTAGATTAGCTTGCCCTGATCATTTCCAGTTCAGATAATTTCTAGCTCGAAGCAGATAATGGCAAATAATGGCAAGTAAAGATGAATACTGACTAAGAACTAAGCAGAATACTCGATAAAATTCTAAGTCAACGATTACAAGTTGCATTGATTAAATCATTTTGAAATAACAGACAATCAAGAATCAAGACGGACGATATTATTGTTGATGTAAATTAGGGTGTGTAGTGTATAATGTGGACTGATAAATAGACACTAATTATGACCCCACAGCTCTATTCAAATACAAGAACTAGGAAATACTTTCACCTTATCGCAGATACAGATTATACGATAAGGACTGTGATGTATAATCAACACTTAAAAGGATGTTCTATACATTATACTGCATCTACACTCTACAGTTTTAATGACTCTAAAAATATCTAATAGAAATAAAGTATTAGAATCACCTCACATCGATTGATTTGCAGGATGTAATAACGTATCAAACGCGCTCGCGGCGGAACATTCTAGACGCCAATAAGTACAAGTCCCATGCTTAATATATTAATATTCAATGCACTACGTACCACCTATCAGTAGAAAGCAAATTGCGCGGCATACAGCATTCACTGTGTCATAAATGTGATGAGCACGTGAGATCTTAATTGTACGTATTGCATCTTCGATATCTGAAATACTAACTCATCGAGAGCTATATATAGCTTGAACATTATAAACATAAATAAGTTCGACATGTCTAGTTTGCTTTGGTGAGATTTATAACTAACGTTTGATCAAATTCTGCTTTCCCAGCCAAATTAGGCTCCAAATAATGGCAAATTATGGCAAGTAAAGATGAATACTGACTAAGAACTAAGCAGAATACTCGATAAAATTCTAAGTCAACGATTACAAGTTGAATTGATTAAATCATTCTGAAATAACAGACAGTCAAGAATCAAAACGGACGATAAAATTTTTGATGTGAATTAGGGCGTGTGGTGTATAATGTGGACTGATAGATTATAGACACTAATTATAGCTCCACAACTCTATTTAAATACAAGAACTAGGAAATACTTTCACCTTATCGCAGATACACATTTATGATAAGGACTCTGATGTATTTAATCAACACTTGAACGGATGTTCTATACATTGTATATTTTCGGTAGTAATGATCAAGTATAAAATAACCTCACACCGATTAATATGCAGGATATAATTTGTGATTAATAAGACGCGGTGATCGTGGCGGAACATTCTAGACGCCAATAAGTACAAGTCCCATGCTTAATATATTAATATTCAATGCACTACGTACCACCTATCAGTAGAAAGCAAATTGCGCGGCATACAGCATTCACTGTGTCATAAATGTGATGAGCACGTGAGATCTTAATTGTACGTATTGTATCTTCGATATCTGAAATACTAACTCATCGAGAGCTATATATAGCTTGAATATTATAAACATAAATAAGTTCGACATGTCTAGTTTGCTTTGGTGACATTTATAACTAACGTTTGATCAAATTCTGCTTTCCCGGCCAAATTTGGCTCCAAAGAAAGTGTGATAAAACATTAATCACATGCCTTCTCATGCGATATCAACATTTTCAAGACTCGGCAAGCCTCGTGATTGAAAATGTCGATATAACCCTCGGCAAGCCTCGGGAAATATCGAAACTTTCGCTAACTCGGCAAGCCTCGTGGGCGAAAGTTTTGATATCGCATGAGAAGGCATGTGATAAATGTATAATATGAGATGCATAATGTATTGCGATTTTACATTTTACGTATTATATACAGTGGCGTAACAGAGGGCCCCGCCGACCCCGCTGGGGGTGCAATCTTAGGGGGGCGCCAAATTGTCGTTTGAATGTGGGACAATTTCGAAAAACTTAACTCTAGAAACACACTTTTTTAGAGATTTTACCGGTGTATCCTCTAAAATCATCTAATTTTTTCAATTTTAGGGAGAGGCGCCAAAAGGGAAGGGGGCGCTTTTTCAGCGGGGGGGGGGGGGGGGGTGGGGGCGCCATCAGGCAACGTTACACCACTGCGTATATACACTGTATATTTCTATATATTGCGATTACGACTTCTGAATTTGCACTTGAAGAGTTACAATTTCGAGTATAGATAGTTAACATTGTCAATCATCGCTGTGTTTAGGCAGAATTCACGATCTGTTTAATTATCTTAATGCTTTGTCAACTTGTTTTTGTTCAATGACCTGGACTCTGTAGTCGAGAGCTCATATTTTTCTTTGTAACGTTTTTGAAGTCTGACTCGTAAATTACACTTGAAGTTCTCTCTTTACCCATTTATTATGAGCTTTGAATTTGGTCATATTTGGTTACATTTACATTTGGTCACATTTACATTTGGTCACATTCGAAATTGTCCAAATTTCAATGCCCAGCTGTGTAGTAGGTAACCCTTATTATAAAAGCCAATCAAATTCAAATTAAGCTTGTTAGATAAATACTCAAAAACAAAAACAAATAACAATAAATAATCAATTTTCTTATTCACTAAATCAAATTAATCATGACCTAAATGCAAATCTGGAACTGTCCCAATATCTAGTAATCGTCAACTTTCCACAACTGTTCGGACAATCCGATATAGTGATTGGACTGTCATGGGGCTTATCTTCAATTGATTTCATCGTTATTCGTGTAAAATTCTAACTATATTCATTTTGGGACGGCCCCGTCTCTGAAATGCAGGCTCTGCAACTTGAATAAATGTATTAAGTTAAAACCACCTTAAACAATAATTCCACATTAGATTTCTTAATCGACACGATGAATTGAAACTGTAAACCCTCGGTAATTTTAGAGTTCCAGGTTATTAAAACCTATTCTAAGAAAATATCCTAGTCGATGAGTTTTATACAGCTTTTATACATTATCCTAACATCGTGTAATATACTCAAAGGGCACTTTAGTTGGGATGGAAGTTGCACTACGGTAAGCGACTCACCTTACACCTACTTATATAGGCTACAATTAGTAGGGTACACTAGCCCGTCTTACGTGTTACACAGTCCTAGTTACTACACTTCTTCAGTGGGTGGTTTTTCTCTTCTGCACGTGTTTGCTTTCTTCATTCTTTGTGAAACTATTGCTTGAAATCGTCATTATTATTAAAATCTGGTTCGTTTCGTCAGCTCAGCACAATTCCAGTAGCTAAAATAAGGAGGACTACTAAAAGAAGAGGTGAGTGGAGACCCTCCGAACTGTTACAGGCTACCCCTGAAACGTTAGAGTTTAACCTCGTGGTTGCTCCATTGTCAGTTTCTGTTCCGTTAAGTGTCGGAATTCCGCTGTCCACACTCCACGTTAAGATTAGTGTTGTCAGGGTTGAGCTTTTCATTGTTTGCTTTCAGTTCTTGTTGGTCAGTCTGCTTTAGCTCAGTCAGCAACAACACGGCACGCATGAATAGCATTTATCAAAAGTCAGCTTTTTTAGCTTTTATTTAAAAGTTTAAAGCTACTAATTTAAAGTAGAAAATCAAGTTCTGAAATCATTGTATAGGCTTGCTAGATCTGATCATTATCGCTGGGTTGAAGATTCATGTTTCACGCCCAACTGCATTTAATGAAGATTGGAACACATCAAAATGCTTCACTCAATAAAAAATGAAACTAATGAGCTTTAACAATAATATACCATATATATATATAGTTATACGATAATCATATCGTTCAAGTCTCTATTAGGATATTAAATCCATTGAGATGGATAAATTTCCTTCCACTCAAAGTTTAAACACTCAGTTACAATCGTAGAATGATGCTTGGCAAATGTAAAGGGTGACATAGATGATAGCGTAGCAAAATATTGAAAAGAAAATATAAAAGGAGATAGCAAAAAAACACGTTAGACAAAGCCCAAAGGCAGAGGGCTTGAAGAGAATTATTTTGTTAAAAAGGGCTTTGATAGATAGAGAGACGACAAAAGGAACACACATTGTGGTGTGTGCTGTTAGGAGAATAGCTGTGCTTTTTGGGGCAACGCACAACTTACGAATTTGGGATTTACACTGTGACTGATTCGAGAAGCCTTTCCATTGTAGCTCATAGTAACTGTCGTGGCTCAAGTTTTTGAGTGGTATCTCTAGATCACCTAATGATATAGGATACTTACTATATTTTCATCTCTTGTACAGTAAAGTATCGGTTATTCCATTCATTACACCTGAATACTGAGTTAATAAAGTGATAATGATATCAAAAATATCACAGAACAATTAAGATTTTTGAGGTTTTATGGGAATTGATCTTTAGTTAACGACTTACATATTTTCTGAAACATCGAATCTGTCGAGGACTTTACGAACGAGACTTCGTAGCAAGCCCCATCCGTTGGCTCGACACCAAGTTTCCCGAGTTCTGTCACTTTAACTTCACAAGTTTTGCTGGCGTTGATAGTCCACGGAGTCTTGTCCGTCTCGTCAAAGTATTCTTGTGGGCAGGACGCGACCCTCTCAACCGGACCCGAGTTTGTTTCCTCTTCATCAACAGTGGGTTCTTCTTCAGGCTTTTCAATACAGTAAGCAGCTGCCTCGGCATCTGGTGGGATCAGTTCGTTAGAGTTTGATGCTGTGAACGAAGTACTTGAAAAAAGGAAAGCTTCAAAGTTTAATCTTTAATATCTGCATGAAAGCATTTCCTTATTGATTTATACCTATTGCCCTGCGACCGAACTGGTTTGACTAACAGCTTACCAAAGTTAATGAACTTGGTGCAGCCTTGTTTGCGCTCAGGAGCTACACGAACTTCATATATTCCTTGCAACACTTCCTCTTCGAGATCCTCCTTCGTTATAGTCATGTTCAGGATCCTTTCAGAACCTTTAAATGTTAGAAAGTATTATTACTGATGAGCTACATTAGAACAGCCTTTTCTTTCAAGCCGTTAAAGATAGTTACATTTCAAATACGGTTGTATTATAAAGTCGTAGGGTTGCTTGCGGAGATGTGATGTATAGCCTGTATAGCCTGTAGTCAGTGCATGTACGGTGCGAGTGTATTTTAATATATCAGCCAATAAGCCCAGATGTGTAAAATTATAAAACATGGGTATAGTTCACTTTCTGCTTACAAATTACAGATAAAAGTTAAGTTCTACGGCAATTGGGTCGCTTAGGTGTTTAGACTTTAGATGTAACTTACATGAGGGAGCTACTTTTGGGTAAGCTCTTTTGAAGATAGACTTGTTTCCTTTAAATACTTCCACTGACACACATTGTGGGCTCCCACCTGCTAAGCTTACTGACAATGAGTTGTCTGTACAGTCCCGGAACAGCGTTACCGCTGCAATGATTTCTGTTCAGCAAGAGTGTTTAATTCATTGATATCCGAAATTTCGGCATACTTGAATTCTTTGATTTTTGCTATGATAGCTTTATTACAATTTTATAATAAGACTGTATTTCTCAACTACAAATTTCAAAAGTTCAAATATTTTTTCCCTGATGATCACCAGACCTGTACAATCCGGTAGATCTTGACAAGAGTCAGCAGTCCTCGTCATCTTCAATACTTCGTGTAGTTGGTATCCTTTACTTCTTGTTTGCAGGAAAGTAAAGTACTGACACCTGATGATCAATATATCAATATACCTCCAGTATAAAGCTGATCCTTATCAGAGTTAAACTTATAAAAACCTGCAATGTTTTCTTAAGAATTGGTTTCACACGTACTTACTAGTTAGCAAGTTCAAAGTACATTCTCAATGCTTCAATGACATAGCTAACATACTTGTTTTCCTTAGAATCCCGCACAGTTCTATTGAAAACGTCAGCTGTCATCCTGAGCTGCTGCTCAGTGGTAACACCCCCCTCACTTGTAGGGTTACTGAAGGGGGTGATCATCTTGGAGTTTATCATCCACCTATGGCTGGCACCAGTTAGCTTCTGAAACAGTTAGATGTCAGAGGATGTAATATTCTAATAGATTTTCCATTGTTATGTTATCTCATGATTGCATGATGGATTAGAGGCTCACTATAGATTCAATAAACAATAGTAAGTTTTAGAAAAATAATGATAATACAACAATAATGATATTTATTTACTTGTTCGAAATCTTCAACATCAGTACCATCCGACATCATGTACTTGGTGCTGGAGAACAGATTGATTTCTGAGTCAGGTTTGGAGCATGCTTTTGACGTCAGTGGTATGTACATCTCCTGTAATTTAAAACGGTAAATTGTCGAGGACCTAGGTTTGAATCTTATCACATGCATTGTTATTTGTTACGATTTATCGGTAGAATCGGCAACTGATATCACTATTTCCCTTGAAAAAGGCATTAAACACCGCTCTTAAGGAAAGCAAGTGGCTGTAAATGTGGCTGTTTTAGCAAACCTGTGGTACGACTACTGGCTGGGTGAACTCATTACTGAGCACTGAGTTGACTTCAGATTCTCTGCTGACTTCACACTTGAACTTAAAGTTATAGTATTTGTAGTAGGACGGCAGTTTCAGTGTTCTGTTGTAGTTAATTATCTCCACATCTCTGAACAACTCAGTTGACGTGTCCACTACCACTAAAATATGTTATTTAGTTTCAGTGAAGCGAAAAACATTTGTCAACGAATTTTAGAACTATGCAGATAAGTCTGAATACTGAATAATAGATAATGAACTTTGTAAACTCTTGTATGATGAAACCACCTTAAATCTGCTTACCAAAATCAGAAGCATTCTCGTAAACCCAGCGGAACCTGCCTTGTTCACTCGCATCAGTGTCTCTAGCATAGCAATTGAAGTAGACAAACTCATCTTTCAGGGTGTAACTTTTGCTTGTTATTGCTGACAACATCTTGGTCTCAGGGTTCCCATTATTTTGCTGATCTGAGTAGGAAAGTTCCGTCTGTTAATTGGTTCTTTTAATTATAAAGTTAAAGTTTGCATTTGAAGGTACTTGTAAGCTAAACTACTAATAAAACTAATTGCATGCACCCACACTGTAGTAGGTACAGAATGACGATATCCATTACAAATACTACTCACTGTTGCCAGTTACTTTGTACTCTGCCCTGGTGTAAGTCTGATTTCTCCCCACAGTAGTGGTAGTGTACTCAGCCTCACACATGTAGTAGCCTGTATCTTCAGCAGGGTTGAACATCATCAAAACAAGTGTTCCCTCAGTGAACGAACCCGCTGAATCTGCTGCTATAACAGGTTCTACTATTGCCATTCTAGGTTGTTCCGAGAGTATGTTCAGTTCTGTCCATTCTGAATCTTCTAGTCTTTTGAAGGACCTTAGAATTAAGATTCGTCTCAAATATCACTAGGCGACTTTTCAATAACTTAAATAGAATCACATCGACCTACTGTAATAGCTAGCTCTAAATAACCAGAAATTATACTGAACATTATTCTATCTTGTTTTTTTATTATCTACGAGTTTTAACAAGCCTTAAACCTATTGCTGTATTCTCAAACTTGTTCTTTTAAAATTTTAAGTCACAAGTTAAAGTTAAATAAATTTAAATTAAATTATTACCATTTCGCCGTTGTGCGCGGGTTAGTGAATGGTAGACCGCCAACTCCACAGTTTAGTCTTTCGTAACCGTTGTTTGTGTTCAATGGGCCCTTGTTCTCTTTCACTATTTCGTAATTATCGGGCACATCTTTGTTTTCTGAAACAATACCAATTAAAATCCCTTACGTAATACAAGTAATAATGGGGGATTTATTAAGTTATTAGACCTGCCGAGTGTTCTAATCATAAGTGCTCCTATATTATAAACCCCTCCGGGATAGAATAAGATTCTGATAATCCCGGCTCCCGCTAAATAGATTCTGATAATCCCGGCTCCCGCTGTTAGTTTTTTCCCGCTGAATAAATAACCCCGGCACAGCTTTTATAATCCCGGCCCGCTAATTTGGCTCAACAAGATTTGTTTTGTTTTGATATTCCATGAAAATTTCAACCGCGTACTGTCACGTGTTTTGATGACGTGTATCACGTGACTAACTACTACGACGCGCATTGGTAAAAAATGTCACGTGACCTATGGCTTAACGTAAGAACTATAAATACACTCGATCTACGTATCGGTCTAATTGCAGGCGCTGGCAAAACTCCAGCACACTGCTTACATTACTTAAACTCTTACATTAATTGGACCAGTTCCAAAACTTGTCTCGACGGTTACATTTGATTTTGTCCGGTTCGGTTAATTTTGTCGTGTTTGATATTATAAGCCATGTATTATAGTCGTCTACTTTGATGAACTTCATGACACGATATCATTATTAGCTTTTATCGCTTGCCAGGCTTAACTCGACGCCCCTTATCGATATTCATATTCATTCAACGTTCTGACTGAGGAATAATGTTTAGATATAACGCCAATTTCAAAAGTTATAGTACCTTAGTTGTATTTATTTGGTAGTCCCCAATTCCATTTCATATTTTCCATAATGATCTCATATAGCTAGAATTAAGAGTAAAATGTCAAATTTGTTGGTCCTAGCACTAACCCGGAGGGGTTTATAACACATAACACCGGCACGCTTAAGTTATATTAAAATAACCCCTCGTGCTAAGGCACGTCGGGGTTATTTTCATAATAATCCCTCGTGCTTCGCACTCGAAATTATTATAAATTTTTCCCGCGCGTCGCGTGAAAAATTGAAATATAATCCCTGCGCATGCCGGGGTTATGTGTGTTATAAACTGTTATTACCACTTGCAACCAATAACGGCTACCATAGTTACACTCAATAACGGCTGCCATAGTTACACTTAATGTTGCTTGGAGATTGGATGAATTCGTGGAATGTAGGTGCAACATTTGTTCTGCAGATTGTGCAATGTTCGCTGCTTGATGAGTGTCTGTCCGAATTTGTGATGCTTGTTGCGGCAGTGGGCTTCATTCACGAATTCCATATGCTCATGTATAGATTGAATTATTACTGCGCTTGAAGTCAGCAGTCAGCATGTAGGTGATAAAATTACACTCAAAGCTGTACATTTTGAATTTAGAAACCAGCTTTGCACAGCTTTGGTATCAGCGAGATACCAGCTTATAGTTTTGCCCTGACTCTGAATTAGGAAATGTCACACTCACTGTAAACGTCTAGCAGCATGGTATTAGAGGTCAGCTCAAACACCGTGTTATCTATCAGTGTGATCTGAACGTTACACTGGTACAAGTAGTTGTCAAAGTTCTCAAACTTGGTCGGGCTGTCCGCGGCTCCGGACCACTTGACTGATGAGAGGACACAGGTCCCTTTTGTGACGTCACATTCTGTTAACTGGTTAGTTGGTCGTTAGTGTTATGTTGTACATAACTGGATTCTTATTCAGTGTGTTTAGATCAAAAGGTAACTTTTAATCTTGATAAAATTAGCAGAAGTGATGTTTTCTTCAAAAATGGTCCTTAAATTGAAATAGAAATAGTGGAATAGTACCTTTTTAGAGTTGTTGATATCATAAGCCACTGGTTTGTAGCCAAGATCTTTTGCCTTGTAGTAAGAATATTTAACCTCCTTCACTGCTTCATTGATGTCAGCTACCTCACAACTGAGGAATGTTTGTTGTAGTTTTAACTACTTATAAGTTTTAACTTCTATTGAGTGATTATCATACTGAGATTTGTTTTATCAACCATGAAGTGTTCAGCTATTTTTACTTAAAAGTCCGTATGAATGGTAGGATAGCTGGTTAGTATATTAACTCACACTAATGTCACATCAGTGCCGTCCAAGGCATCACAAACATAACCATTAGCTTTAAGAAAGGATGTCTGGATTGATTCTGATCTCCTATCTTCACACTTCAAACTCACAGCTGCAATGTTGTACTTTGATATTTTACAATTCATCGTAAATATATTATGTATACAGAGTTTACCACATAAAGTGTGACTTTTTTTACAAAAGTCACCCGGTGGAAAATACATGTAGGTACCTGATTTATGCTAAACTTACGTTTTTTTCGTGAAATTAAATAACGACCAAGAAGAAAAAGTTACGCTTAATAATACATCATAGAAACACAATATGAATAAGTGTACGCAATCTCTGACGTGAGACTAATGCGTGTGTTCCAAAGATCAATCATTCTGATAAAATGGTCCAACCAACAAAATGAAGGTTATAAACTCACTGAAGTCGGGACAGCAGCATATTTCATCAGCTACAATAACAGATTTAAGTAGGATCAGTGAGAGAAGAGGCGTCCAGATGTTTGTTGGCATATGGGACGATGTTAAACCTAGTGAGGAGGAACTCTGTGAAGTCCCGTTACATTCTGTTCGTACTGAACCAGGAAATTCGTTAGTTATCTTATTTTGCAAAGATCAATACGGAGTTTATAGTTGGATATTTAAATAGTAATTAATTTGGTAATCTGCCGACAGAAGACTCGGTGGAGTTACAATAGTGCACGTCAGCAGAATACTAAATTATCCTGCAGATTGTTCAAATATTCCGACTCAGCAATTAAGCAATCGTTGATATAATACACATTTAAAAGGCTAATAACTAAAGTGTATCAAGTCATCAATGGCGATTTAATCTAGCATTATGAAAAGCAAGCTGAATGAGGAATCGAAATTAGGTTATCATCGCTGACTCTAACTGAATTAACACTAGGCTACTATAAAACTGTGGATCAGTTCAATGCCAAGCAAATCAAAAATGTTTCGGAAATATGTCAAGATCCGAAATAAATATAAAAATGAATAAACAACATAATTGCCGCCCAGAATAAAGCAAGTTCTTTTACTTTACATAACTATGAGTCGGAGCTCATTGTGCAACTATATATTAATTCTTATATTATATTATAAGCTATAGACTCTATAGTATAATAGAGCAATAACGTCCTGTGTACGTGATGAGGCTTGTAGGTGCGACACTAAAAACAACCGTTGTTGAAATAAAAATGGAAAGTAAAAAATAAATCGTGGCTCTCGTTGATAGGCTGGGATGTCAACAACATGTTCACATAACATAATAACTAATAATTCCGAACAACAAAATCCATGTTTATAAACACGAGTCAGAATAATGCTTTTATTAGCAAATAGGAAGCTCATTCCAATCTTTGTTTTTTTTTTTGAAAATCCGATTCCAACGCGTTAAATTTTAGATATTCAATGCAAACATTTTCAAGTAGCATTCAAATTCAAGCATATGTAATATTCTTCGTGATAAAAGTGACTTGCCACAGCTGTTGACACACGCTGTAACCCCACGTGTAGCAACACAGCAGCTGTCCTTCTTACTCATCTGTCAGTGTTTACAGATTTCTTATACGTTTACATAGTAATAGTGTCATTTGATGTGCGTTCTGAAGATTCCAGATTAAAATTCTCATTTGATGTAATGTTGTATGCATGCAATGATGATATTTGTCGATAGTTCACAATTATCGAACTCTTCCGCCGAATATCCTGAACTAAATAAGAAGTTTTTGTGTTGTCATGGAGAAGCTTGGCAGCGGGCACTATCACTTTCAAGAGGTGGCATCCTCCTGTCTCTACTTTCTTTACTGTTAAGTGTCTGTAACATTAGTTCCTTAATTACTGTTTGTCTGGGACATTGGTTCATTAATTAGCTCTGATCAAACTAATCTTATTCTTATATTCCCTAAATGTAGAAAATATTGTCACTTACGGTTCGATAGGATTTTCTTTTGAAAATTACAATGCGAGAATATAAAACCAAATTAGCTAAAAATTTACGAAAACATTCTTCTTTTTCTGGTCCATTCTTCGTTTTCTGACGCATTCTTCAGATAAGAGACGCTGTAATTCATGGATCATGTTAAATTGAGCAATTTAATTTTGTAGTCGCTCTTATAAAGCTACAACTTGATACTGTGGTTCAGCAGGTGTTACATTACGGACTGTGTCCCCTGTCTGACACCAGCCTTTCGAGTTTCGACTTTCTGGTTACATCATTGGAGGCAGTAATCGTGTGGGCCAGCTGACTTATATATTGTGACCTAATTCATACATCGTCACATATTGTATATCAAAATGCAGAGTTTATACTGCCAACTTATGTAGTGTTTCACTGTACAGTGCATTTTGGATTCTGTTATCACATATTAAGATATTAGCATATTCGTCTGATGACACCTTTTTGCATTTCTTTGTTATTAAACTTTAATGATTTGTGAGATTCGCATGTAAAGAATATAACCTAAGATCTAGTCGCTGACGAGTCTTACTACAAAACAATCCTGCAACAAACTAACGAAAAGCTCACAAAACTAACGAAAAGCTCACAAAACTAACGAAAAGCTCACAAAACTAACGAAAAGCTCACAAAACTAACGAAAAGCTCAGAAAACTAACGAAAAGCTCACAAAACCCACTTAATGAATAGTATCACATCCCTGTTAGCTGTTTACCGGGTCTTACAGTTACACTACGTCACACTAGCTCTCAACAATGAAAAGTGGTGCCGCGATTCTTATTGCACGTGCTTTTCTTATTGCACGAGCGCCCTAAAATATTGCATCCACAGTTCAAACGTTAAACATCATTCTGCAGCCCAGAGATACTTGATCAGTTTGGCCTTAAAAGTAAAAATCCGCTCTGACTGCCGGATACATACTGGTAGACTATTCCATTTCAGCATAGATCTATGAAAGAAGCTATTTCGGAAGGCATCCGTGCTGGGCACAGTAGTACTCATATCATGTAAGTTGAAGTATCCGACTTATCAATTATTTGAGCATTGTGCCTAGTGGGCTAGTGTATCGGGTGCCCTCTGGACGGCATAGGACTATATATTATGTAGGGAGCGATACTGGAATTATGCTATTCACTATTTTATAGAAGGTCATAAGATCGTTATAAATAAACTTCTGTTTAACAGGGAATATTTAATTTCTTTTGCTCTGTAGCAAGTTTATCGTCATTATAACTGGAGTAGGGTTCACCATTGATCCATTTAATGATTAATGGCCCGCTTTTGGATAGCAACAAATTGTTCAAGATGAGTTGCAGTTTGAGGGGACCATAATGACAGAACAATATACCTAATTAACGATAAATAGAACGATCTTTTCTGCCTTTTATCAGTAGTGAAATGACATGTTCTCTTGAGTAGTCCAAGTCTGGAGTTAGCTTTGGAAACAAGCGCTTTACATTGTGCTCCCCGATTAAACCTCGAGTTTATTTCGACTCCTAAATCTGACTGACAGCAATGTAATGCCATATAAAGTAATGTAATGCCATCTTGCCATATAAAGCAATGTAATGCCATATAAAGCAATGTAATGCCATATAGAGCGATTTAATGCCATATAAAGCAATGTAATGCCATATAAAGCAATACCATTATCTGTCCGGTACCATTATAATATTATGTACATTTATAAAATGTAGAAAATATAAAAATGTTTTTATAGTTGTAAAATAAAACCTACTTGGTGTACACACTCACAGCTAACTTCATGTGTTAACATAGTGTCTACAGAGCTATCCGTAGCTGCCACAACTGCGGAGCCACCCTGCTTCAGTTCAACTGTTTTAGATCACAATATCCTTGTCTGCTTGTGACTGCTTGTGACCTTTTTTTAATTATTTGTGACTGCTTGTGACGTTTATGCTTGCTATTATTTTGGGCCCACAAACTCGTCCTGTCTACGTATACTATATAAGTGTATTATATAACTTTGTTAGATTTATCAGAGTACACTAATACTCCTTAGTTCCTTACATAACATTTACAATAGGTAAAATTGTTGGTCGCCTGGGAACTATACACTGTTGTTGCTACACTGCTAATACGTTTCAAGGAGAGCTGTGTTCTTGTTGGATCCCCGTTCATATGAGGCCGCACACTGCACATGTTATAGTCAATAGTCATGCTTATCATATAGGTTGCTTTTTTAAATCCGTTGCATAAATTAATGAATGAATTCATCTCGCTTTTTAAATAATTTGGAAGTTTTTTTGCTTTTTCATTATTAGCTAATGTCGATCTTACTTGTTGTTTTTGTCGTGTAACTATTTCAGTTTATTGTTGAACATTTTTTATAACGAACATAAGTCTCTTGGCATCAATGCCGTTGCGACGATGTTTCAAAGTTTCGATGATGTTTTCAGCGTTCTTTCACTATTTTAACGATGTTTTCTGTATTCTGTGCTGTTTTTATCAGATTAAACATATTTGTTTTAGACACTACTTTCGTAGTGGTTCTGGAAGCCTTCAATGCAGCTAAACAGATTACAACAAGCTATATAGTATATATAGGTATGACAATTTTAATTTTTCTGTTACCATAAAAAAGCAAGGTTAAATGTTTTTATCCTCCTACCTCAACGAACTTGGTAATTTTAAGTCAATATTATGCGAATATTCTAACTATAGTCACTGATATTTCTCAGACAAAATGACAGCTTGCCCAACTATCATGAGTAAACTTATGTTATTTGAAGACGTGAATCTTTACTTTTACATCGTCATTGCATTTGTCTATCTATAAGTAAACGTCATTATTTTAAGATTACGTTACAAATCATCACGTAAATAACGACTTTATATATATATAGATTAGATAAAGGTATAAACTATAAAGCATGGAGCACCGACAAAATCAACAGCAATAGGACGGTCACTACGTTAATAACGTTGACAACAATGTCGAAACAAAAACGAATAATCAAACTATTATACCACATGACGTGTTCTTTAAAATAAATAAATTTGTCATAAATGATATTCGCCGAATGCCCTGTTATATGTGCCTTGACAGTTGACAAGTGACCAAATGTAGACAACATTAGCGAACATCAAACACCAGATGACCAGTAAACTGGGCATTACATCGGACCCTGAGTGAACCTGTGAGTGGAGCGATGCACATAAATTATAAGTCATAGAGCAACTAGAATACGATTAAGAAACAATAAGTTTTATTTTACATTCCTTTCATCATAAATTGAATTAGTTTACTAGAAATTAACTATAGAATGTTCTATGCTGATAATAATACATGATCCAGATCATATAGTTAACTCAAATAACTTTATTAAAATGTGTGTATTTGAATCATTGCAAGTAGTTGATTTTAATAATATAGTTAATTTTAATAATATAGTTAATTTTAATAATATAAGAAAGGGTCAGTTTATCCATAATCTAAGACGTATTAACATCACCTGAGCTCATGTAAGGAGCTTGATATTAACAAAAGTGAAAGAGGTAAAAGAGGTGACTGAAAACAGCTAGAAGACGGTCAGCGCATTTCCAAATAACTAAGACTGCAAACTACAACAATCATAACACCACAATATTTGCACTCTACCGAATACTAGGCAGTGTGTTGG